CTACCTTCTAGTATGTTTCTTATGGCTGATAATATGCTGCTTATATTTGATAACAGCCATGTCTAAAACCTAACGTTTTATTTACATTTTACCTACTTTTAGTCTTTATCTACTTTATTTACTTCACGCCCATTTTTGTAAATAACTGCGATCTAAACCTTTGCTTTGAATAAATTCCACATGCTTCAGTGTAGGCTACTAGGTGGTGCAGTGGGTAGCACTGCTTCTTCACAGCAAGAAGGTTCTGGGTTTGATTCCCGGCCTGGGGTCTTTCTGTATGGAGTTATGTTCTCCCTGAGCATGCGTGGGTACTCCAGCTTCCACCCACAGTCCAAAAACATGACTGTTAGGTTAATTGGCTTCTCTAAGTTATCCTCAGATGTGAGTGTGTGCGTGAATGGTTGTTTTTCTCTGTGTTACCCTGCGATGGACTGGACCTGTCCAGGGTGTACCCCGCCTCTCGCCCCTTAGACAGATGTAGATAGGCACCAGCACCCCTCGTGACCCTAGCAGGGATAAGTGCACTAAAATCAGTGGCATGCACAAATATCTTTGGGGGCAGGTTGGAAAAAGGGCACCTTAAACATCGCATGGAGCAGCCAACAGCTATCACCGTCAGTCATCACGATGCTGACGTTTAAAGTTCTTCCGCAGTCCATAGGCAGCAATCTCACATTAGTGTCAATAAAATAAGGAACAATTTCAAATCCAGTAATATATAAACAAACCTAAAAAAATGGACTAGGCTGAGTTTTTTTTTTTTACTTTATCTTTCATTTATGTGGAAAAAAAGAACAGAATTGAAGGCTACGGCACAAAAAGATAAAAGAAACATGATTTACATGTAAGTCTTTAAATGTGTGATGATCCCATTTCTTCAACCGTCTTTCTTCTTTTGGAAACGTAGTGAAAAAGTCAATATCGCCATCCCCTGGATCAAGTTTATACGATTAACTAAGAGCATCAGGATGGATTATTACTTGCACTCATAAATATCTTCCAAAAATTTGTGTCACTTGCTAAAAGTTGATCAGGCGGTTTTCCATGGCACACAAGTAGAGTAGAAGTCTAAGGCAAAGCCCAGGATTTCAGAATATCTTTTAGTTTATTTTCTCTTAATTCGAGGGTATATATGACAGTTTGCAGATGAACAAAAATTTATGTTTAAAATATGAAAAAAAAACAACGCTGTTATTTTCTATAAAGTGCACAATATGTAATAATCTTACTCTAAGGTAATAAACTCTCATTCCACAGACAGATCATCTTATTTTCTAGCACAGATTGGAAGTGAATACAGATATTTTCAGAAAATTTAACATATTTTCAGGTCATTGCAGTCCAAGAAACACAGAAATTGAAAATGCAACTTCACCTATACATCACACTTTAACTGAATAAAACCTCATTAAAGTTATTTTTACAACTTGTGATAATTTGGTCTTATGTTTGGCCTTATGTTTGCTTTTATATAAAATCTTAACAGATAAAAGGTAACTTTGCTGTAGCTGACATAAAAAAGAAATGAGTCAAACAGATGCCATTAGGGAGTCCCTGATGACAATAATTACATCTATGAGATGCTTTAAATTAAATTATTTTCTAATTTAATCAAAGATTTGCATTTTAAACCATTCCTTGGCACCTGATAGAGGCCATTAAAATTTGAGGTCAATATGCTTGTTTAGTTACCTGGATGGCTGTTCACCAGGGCAAGCTCCGCTGAGGCAGTGCTACATGTCTCATGGAGCAAAATCACAAAAATCTAGACTCCAGGCTTGGTTTAGGATATAATCAGTGATAACAGCCTCCTGAGCCTACTAGTAGGCTACTAGTATTACAATTGAAACCACTCTATAGGACAGTTAACCCCTAATAATGGCCATTATTAGCGGTTAACAACCTCTGAAGCAGCTGTTTTGTTTGATTTTTTTGTCGATCAATGTTTTTTTTTTTTGTTTAAATTTAAAATAGTATAACATTTAATTGCATCATTGTTATCATGTAAATAGAGGAAGAAAAAGCAATATCGACTCCAAAAATCTGTCCCAATATATCGGCAGCACATATTAGGGATCAGTTAGACTGCTGCCAATCGATATCAGCATCGGCCTTAAAAAACCTGTATCAGTTAATCTTTAGTTGCCAGTAATCATCAGATCCTGAGTTTAACTTCATGTCTCCATGCTTCTTTTCCTGTTCACTAGCCTCATTTCTTCTTTAAGTTCTCTAAACTTACCATGCAGTATTTTTGGTCCAGAATGACAAATCCTGTAAAATCCTGTAAAAAGTCTGGCATGTGCTTTATTCAACCCTTTTGACTCTGAAATGTAGGGCTCCCAAATAGTAAACTGTAATGTTTAAGAGGAAAAGGGTGAAGTAATTGAGAAATTTAAATCAGAGATGGATTCTAAAAAAATATTGAAAGCTTCAAATATATATCCCAGGATTTTGCACGGTTCTGTTTAATATATCACTTGACAACAGAAAGACTTGTAAAAAAGCATCTGTAAAAGCTTTTGAGAATACTTTCACATTGCTTTGCATAGAGGAAAACCTTGAACACATCATGCCGATAGGAAAATGTGGCAGCATTATGTCCTTTGATGAAGGGGATAAAGAAATGGTAATCGTCAAAAAGAAAATACATGTAATAGTCAAATGATTTGAAAGTGGCAGAATTTCACCTTCCAGTAGGAGAGAAGTCCTGAACATACAGTCAGATCAATCGTGTTGAGTTTAAGCTGTTTTGCAAACAAAACAAAAAAAACAACAAAAAAAATACAAATGTGGAAAAATAACTGGAAGTTTTTGGTTGGATTTTTTGCATAAGGTGACAAAGTTTATGGAATCAGAATATGCCAATAAACTGGTTTTAAAGAGCATCCCACTGTGTTGCTAATGTTGGATTCTTGGCTGCATTTCTAGGTTCCTTCAAGAGAAGGAAGAGGAAATCCATAACTGTGACAGTGATGCTCCTCATTGTATCTGTGCTCATCCTCATTTTCGGCCTGGCGGCAACCACCAGGACACAGAACATCACAGTGGGAGGCTACTACCCCGGAGTCATTGTGAGTGCATATTCAAACCTGTAAGTGGCAATAAACAGACACATCAAGCTTCTGAGCTCTCACAGTTTATTACAAGTTGAACGAAAGTGAAGTGCTTCCAGCAAAACATTCCAACTGTAATGAACTACCTTAATAAAGGGTTTATTTTCCCCTCATTCATTATTCAGTGTTGCAATCATTAGATGCTGAATGAGGTAAAGTGTTCCAGGCAACAGATTTCAGTTCTGCACAGATCAAAGCCGCTCTGGTCAAGTTCCATTTTTTTTTTAAGTTTATATAATTCAAAGTAAAATCACAGTTTGTCATAAAACTTAGGACTAGATAAACATCTGCTGGCAATTTTATATTATTTGCGTCATCAAAAGTGAGTTGCTTTATGCTTCCTTAAAGAGAATCAGTTTAATAGTTTAAAAAACAAAAAAAAAAGAACATGAAATACCAAATAATCTCTGGTGAAGCTCAGGAAGGCTGATTTAAATTTAGAAAATAGAAAGCTAGAAAGGATAAGTGCCTTAACAGGACTTTTAACATTTCTTTGCAGCTCGGCTTTGGCTCCTTTCTGGGAATCATCGGTGCTCATTTGATAGAGAACAAGAGGCAGATGGTAAGAGGACTTAAATCCCTTTTAGTCCACCATGAACATTGTGTCTGCTTTGTGTTCCTTCCCTTTCAGTTCTGGTTGGGCATGTGAGTCCAAACTGGGCTGAACATATTTGTGTTGTGTACTGGTGCAACTATCTTGGACTCGAAGGGGGGAGGGGTGACGGTTGGGTCGGGGGCGAACAGCCAGGAATAGAAACAGGGTGTAAATGGAGGAGGACAGATGTCTGCAGCCAAAATGAGGAAGGAAGGAAAGTGAAGAGGAGCAGAACAGGTGGGAGGTGCCAGGATGGGACTGTCAGAGATGATGATGAATGGGTTTATACTGTGACAGCCTGTGACAGCTTTTACCTTTAGCAAACTGACCTGAGACACATTTCATTACTGCTGTAAAATGTTATTAGGTTACATAAAAAGTGGTGACAGGTTGCACAGCTAGAAGATTCATGTCTTTTTCTGAACATCAATGGATGTAACAACCTATTTATGATCCTGTGTTAGATATTGTTTCTTTTGTTTCATAAATCATTTTACGGACATAGATACCATTAAAAGTTGTATTTAATAAATAAATTCTCATAGATAAGTAGAAATCAATTCAAGTTTTCCACTGGGGTGAGAACGATCCTGTGTCAATAGATAATTAGGTGGAACAATTAAAGGTGCAATTTTTTTAGTTACACATCATAAACAGAGATCAGGCTGCTAAAATAAAAGTTTAGTTTATTTATTTGGTTATGCCGTGTTACCAGGGGTGCTCCCAGAGCTTCTACAGTCTATAACTGATAAAAACTAGATCCTGGTGACTTCCTGGTCTGGAGTGGTGTGAAAAATAGCAGATTTTAACATTTTTTTTTTCTTTTTATTAATTTTAGATTAGTTACAATACAAAGAACAAACCTTTGCCGCTTTACACATACATACAATGAAAGAGGAAGAAAAAAAAAAAAAAATATATATATATATATATATATATATATATATATATATATAAAAACAAACAAACAATATACTCCACATGAACAAGGAACAAGGAGTCAATCCTTTCACGTCTACCTCACCCCTTAGCCATCAGAAGAGGAAAACAGAAGCAAGCAAACATAAATAGTTGTATAAAAGGAAATAAAAAAAAATAAAAAAAACTAGAATCCTAGTGACCAGGCAGAAAAGACTCAAGGGGACCCCAAAGTGCCGAAAATGTGTGTGTTCTGTGATTGAGATCGTGGGTCAGCTTTTCCAAAGGAAGAATAACAGATATCTGTGTGAGCCACATATTTACTGTGGGAGCAGAAGGAGAGGTCCATTGTAACAAAATAAATTTCTTGGCAAGAAATTGAAGAATTGCAAACATGGATTTAGAATGTGCACCCATATGATTAGGGGAAACATTTAGAAGATAAAACACAGGAGACAAAAGAAAGCGTACCCCCAAAACCTTTTCAATCACCAAATGAACATGCAGATCTTAAGCCAATCAGAAGGACTGAATTGCATCTCCAGATCACGCTCCCACAGCAGCTTCACAGAGTCAAAGCTTGATGGTACAGGGCTGAGTAAGAGTGCATAGAATTTAGAAATCAGACCCTTTGGAGAGTTGGTGGAAAAAAAGCAGATAGGTGTATTTTCAGACTTTATAGTTTCCTTCATTCCTTTTTTCTTCTACCTTCCATATGCTCCTCTTTCCTTCCGTTTCTACTTTCTTGTGTCTTTCCATTCTCCCTCCTTTCTGCTTCCCCTCCTCTCTTGCTTCCCTACTATCATCCTCCTATATTTCTGTCCTTCCCTCTGTCCCCCAATTTCCTTTAGTGTTTCCATCTCCCTTCTTCCTTCCTTCTTTCAGTACGCCCTGTCCTCCTTGGTTCTGACCTCTGTCCCTTCCTTGTGTCCTTTCTCAATTCAATGTTTCCTTCCCTGTTTCCTTGTATCCTACTTTCTCCCTGTTTTTCTTAAAATCAACACCTTGTATGGATATTTGCCATAAATTTAACCGCAAAAGTTGGTATTTCATTTTTTAAACTGGACATTCATGAAGGACTCAGAACTCATCCACTTCAGTCTTGAATTTCTACCTAAACGATGTGGAGTAACCCTGTACAACCATCTCAGATTTAACAGGTCACCCTTCCAAGTTAACATGTATGGATATAATGCTGGTTTCAGTACATTCCAGGAACATTGAGGGTTCATTTATCAGTTAATTTTAAATACTAAATTGAATTCCAAAATAATTTATTGATCCCACAGGGAAATTAAATTGGAAGTTAAGGCTTTTATAAGAAACAAAAAACCACAAGATAGAAATGCAAAAGTCTTCCTTCTGGTTTCTCCAGTTGCAGAGACTCTCAGCCCTCAGAGGTTTAGGGTATGTTTTTGCAAACTTATAAAACGAAGACAAATCTACTTCAGCACATCTCACTGACATTGCTAGGTGATTAAAGAAGCCTGAGCAGTACTCGATGACAAGCTGTTGACGTAATTTATCCCCTTGGCTGTAGTGTGTTGCTGCAGAAAAACATCTAAAATATGTGGGACGGAGTGCCAGGAGGTTGAATAATACACTCATATATTTAGTTACATGGCAGGAAAAAGCTTTTCTTATGTTTCAAAGAAAGAGTCTAATTTCTAAAGTACATCAGACTTCTGCTTTAATTTGTGTATGTCCCTTTTTCTCCAGTAAGTGGTCCCACTCTCTTCTTTCAATGCAAAACTTCTGTAAACAGGATGGGATGTAACTGAATACTTGCAGTTTTGTTAATTAGTGAAAAAGTGGGAGTGTTGCATCTGTGCTCGACTGAAAGACTGAAACTCATCTGTTAGAAAGTGTGCACAATGATATGCATGGATGGGAGTGCAGCAGGATCTTAGAATATCATTTTCTACTTTCCTCTCTTTGTCATTAATGCTCCGGTCACTGTGAACTTTATTTCTTTATCCCAAAAGGACCCATGAAGCTGATGCATGTGTTTCTTTCCACAGTTGGTTGCATCTATGGTCTTCATCAGTTTTGGGGCAGTTGCGGCTTTTTGCTGCGCTATTGTTGATGGAGTTTTTGCAGCAAGGCACATTGTAAGTATGAGCAATTATTTCAGGTACTCTAGACAAAAAAAAAACACCTTATCTATAGTTGGAAAGGAGGATTAAATCTTGCCAGAGTTCATTAGCAATTGTAAATATAAGAAGTAGATCTATTGATAAATTTTTTTTTTTCCTTTCAGCTCAGTCCTCTCCTCACAACAGAATGTGAACTCACACCGTAATTGTGGCTGTTTTCACAGTACTGTCAATGTTTCATTACATATTTACACCCACACCTAAAGGGAATCCTACACACTAAATTCCCTCCATTTATTACATCATTCCAGGTCTGAAGAGAACAATCCTTTCTTTCCCCCCTGAGACTCATTTCCTTGAAATTAAAATAGTGTTACATCTGTAAAAAGCAGGTCTTTGCGTCTGGTCATGACAGACTCTAGGATACCTAGAGAAAGAATATCCGAGGCCCACCAAAGTCTTGCCTTGGTGGCTGTAGAGAGGCTGAGAAATGTCTCATAGCCCCACCAGATAAACTTGGACAGGCAGCTATGACGAGAGAGAAGGCTATGCCTGATAGTTTTCACATGATGAGGAGTACTAAGACAAATATGTGTATTTTTTTTATTACTTTGAAGGAAGGGGTCAACAAGTCCAACTAGTCATTAGAAGCAAAAGAAATTCATTTCTGCTACTCTCGTGGTTTTCACTTTATGGAAATATAAATAGATGTTCAGGTCTGGCTGGCTGATCATTTTTCACCCTTAAAACACCAATTAAGACTCCGCATGTAGGCCTACAGATATGTTTTTTTTTCCCAGAACACAGATATTCCAGGAGCAGTGAAACAGATAACCCCGTTAGTTGCTTTTAATTTGATTTATTAATATTCATATATTAGAAAATGAAGGCAAACACCATTCTTTAAATGTGAAACTCAGTATTCTATGATCTACTTTCAATATTTAGTTTCAGTTTATTTGATAAAGAAACTAGAAGAATAATTGAATAACTGATTCAATCAACCAAGCTTTAATTCTGACACTTTTTGGTCCGCATAAAAACAAAGACAGCAGCTGTACTTAAAATAGGAAGTGATGAAAAACAAACAAACACTCCACGTAGACACGTGCTCTAATAACCAGATTTCTACCTGATGCTACTTCTTTGAGGCTTGAATAAAACTATTATTTCATTTCCTCCAAATTCTGTATATAACAATACGGTAGGCTTTAAACAGAGCAACTTTGACATCATCCGACCAGATCTGAAATATTCATGCCACCATGTTTACTTTTACATCATCCTAATATTTCGACCCCGATATGTAACCTTGTCCACAACAGTCAGTCTTTTTTTGCATATGGACATATTGATGACTATATTCTGGAAGTTGTTGCAAATCAGCAGAACAATGGTATATGATTATTGACATCATTGGCATAAAGATGGTTTAAAGCTGATTTCCCACTACACAGCCTATGTTACAGTCTTTGTGTAATGATGGGCTAAGGACTTGACCCATACGCAGAACACTACTGGAGACTAAGTAAAAGTTTGAACAAAGTTTATTGAGAAACACACACAGAGAATATAATGACTGGTTCAGGTGCTGGTCCGGGACTGGTTTCAACTCCTTTCTGGAGAGATGAGAGTTTGATTAGCTTTGCAGTTTGATTGTATGATGAGAGAGTTGAATCTTTTAATGTACCTAAAGAGGTTCTGACAGATCATATGAGAGGGGGAACCGGTTGGGTCCAGAGACAGTTTAAGAGGCAGAGAGTAAAGCAGCAGCAGTGTCTAGCTTCGAGCTGGAGAGTTTTCAGACTTGAGTATGTTTCCAAGCTCTTCCTCTAAGAGCTGATGAAGGAATCCAGTTTGAGATCTTCAGGTTTGGCTTACTTGGCAAGCAGGCAGGTTCTCAGATTAAGCTCATCCAGAGCTTCAGACATCGGTGGGATTTCCTGTGATCAAAGAAGACAGGGGCAGATTAGAAAAGCTTGTTTCTCTCTAGAGTCTACAAGATTTCCTAAATTCTTAGAGGCTCAGGTTCGCTAACCAAACTTGGTCAACACTGCGGCGTCGAAGGAAGGTCTGACTGCTGCTTATGAAGGGTGGTCTTCTGATGAGCTGATGATCCTCAGGTATGGTGAGGACTCCAGCTCAGGAAGCCCACAGCGCTCTCTGCTGGAGACAGGTGGCAGATCTCCAGATCCCAACACTTTGACTCTTTAAAAAAATAAAAATAAAAATTGTAAATTAGAGAGCACAGGACAAAAGCCCACCTTGTCTCACCCCGTTTGCCCCAAGGAAAGGATCCCATGTTCTATTTCCACATCTAACATGCATGCTTTGCCTCTTGTAATGTCATAAATAATGTCATGATTGATGCGGACAAATGCAAAAACAGAGGCTCACTGCCTCTTCCAAAGCCCGGATACACACATCAGTGTATTCTAAAACCAATTAGATCATCAGTTCTATGTAGATATTTTTTAAATCTATCTAAACATCACAGCTTACTTGCTAATGCAATTGAACCATAGTTCTCAATACTTTATATATAATATAAAGTTATTGAATATATTATGTTACAAAGTGGGTAAAGAGTCTTGATTGATTTAGTTTCTATTATCTACCAATATTAGTTTTTGTAGCCATCAATATATTTGCACATTTATTGCAGATTGTTTTTTTGTCAGACATATACAAATTCCAAACTTTGCTTTATCACCCTGCAGGACCTCAGGCCTTTGCACGCCGGTCGCTGTGGGTATCTCTCTAGTGAATCTGCATCTGAACGTGACGTAAGAAACCCTGCTTGTATCTTTTTCATTCTTTATGCATGGAATGCTAAATTCATCCTCATTAGACTGTCTTTGTATGAGGCAGTTATAACCTATCCTTATGACGAGTTTAGGGGATAAAAAGAAAGAAATGTACATGAATTTGTGTCCCTCAGGTGCCATGCCAAACGTCACGGTCATCATGCAACCTGCGTGTGAAGAGCAACACCTGTTACTGCTGCGACCTCTACAACTGTGGGAGGTAACTACGCTGAGAACTAGAGTGTGGCCACTTGGTTTGCTGTGTCATTTTCATTGTTTCAATTTCGGTAGAGATGCACCAATTAATCGGCAAGATATTGGAATGATGATGAGCTCCTGGATTAAATACAAAAAAAGACACCATGAAACGTCAGAATAAAAAGTTTCAACGAGGGGCATATGCTCTGATTTTTAAATAGACTAATCTTGACTCTCTGACATTTTCTCTTCAAATCCTGAATTAAAATGTTCTTTCTTAGATGTTTTGACGCTTATTTGAAAGAAAAAAAAAATCTAAATTGGCCAAAATGTAAAATTGTGTCAGACATGAAAAAAAATGTAAATTGGCCGAGGATAGTATGATCGGTGTATCTCTAGCTTACAGTGGGAGATTTGTTGGCATTGCGGCTTTGATGATACCAAAACAAGAATGTTTCTTTTGTTTTTGACTTTTGTTTCAGAGAACCTCTTATGGGACTTCAGAATAAAGATGTTATGAAAAAGTTTAGGAAGTCATCCATGATTTGGAAGTAGGTCCCTTTTGTAGACTAATAATGCCCATTGTAGATAAGTTCAGCATCTTCCTTCATGTAGATGTAGTTTTTGATAAATAAAAAAAAATGCACATTTCATCTTCGCTGCATGTTCTGTTTCTGGCTGACAAAACACTCCATTTCAGTTTTGCTCGTCTTTTTAAAGCGTCAGTGAAGCCCCCCTCACACGATTGCTACCATAAATCAAAACCTTTTATCTGTTTTCAACAGTTTCTTGTTGATAATTGAACAATAAGCCTTCAGCGTGACTGTAAGCTGTTTCCCTTCCTTTCCCACTCATTATCATAGCCGTGCAGAGATGATGGGGGGCTACCATGAATACACAGATGTGAAAAGCTGCCAGGACGTAGTGTACCTCTACTACCTGCTGTGGTCTGCAACCATCCTCAACATTGTGGCTCTTTTTCTGGGAATCATTACTGCAGCTGTCCTGGGAGGCTTCAAGGACATGGTAGGTCTGAGCATTAATACCAGCTGTATGTGGAACTCAAACTGTTGTTTTGCTTATTACTTCCCCCAAGGAGGTTATGTTTGTGTCTGTCTGTCTGCGCACAGGATAACCTGAGTTATGAAAGGATTTTAATGAAATATTTACCAAAGCTTCATCTCAGTCCAAGGAACAATCCCTTAAATTTTGGTAATGATTCAGATCGTGTGTTAGTTTTGGTCAGCGCTCTCTGAGTGCTTTTCTAATTTTTAAGATACTTTAATGTGTGGCAGCTTCTGTATAATTTAAAAGATTCAAGCATTTTGGTGTCATTTTTAAAGCTTGCATACACACAGACCGCAGCTTGAAACTTGTGTAACTTCCACTCTAAAGTTGTGATTTAAAAAAATCAAACTGGATGTGAAAATTTGCGGTCCCTCGCTCCATCTCTGACCCATCTGTATGGTGACGCACATTTTAGAGAGGGGGGATATTGCCGACACAGATGGTGACAGAGGGGAACTCAAGCTAGAATGCATCAAAATCTCAAACTCACTTCATATGAAACTTAGTAGGTCAACTTCATTATAAACCACATTGTCTCATATTGTTGACAAAAAATCTTGAATTGGAAATCAAATTGCATAGACATTTGAATGTTTCCTCACTGTTAGATGACAGAGGTTTCCTGACGCAGGATGGTGAATGATTATCAGCTCATCAGACTCCATAGAGCATTGCTTTCAGTTCTAGGTGCTGAATTTGGTGCAGTATTGGAGAGATCAACCCTCTGGACCATATATGTCAAAATCAAGGCCCGCGGGCCGGATTCATCCATGGCCCCCTGGATGATATTTAATTACTACTAGAACCGTGCTGCTGTGACTTCGTGGGCTACTGTTGCATTGTGGGGAATGTAGTTTTGGTACGGTTGTGTTGCACAAACCAACATTGCATTCCCACTGGAAGACATTACTGTGTTTTTCTTTCATTATAACTTTTTTGTTTTGTTTTGCATGTTTGGATTGTTTTGGTTTTTGCTTTTCCCCCTTTAACAAGCCAAGCTGGGCTGAAGTCGGTTGTCTAAGGAGGCAGAGTGCACTAACTGCGCCCCGCAACTGCTGCTCACAGGTGTCAGCAGAGGCTGATTGAAGCCAAAATAAAAGGAGCCTGGATGGAGGGAGGAGTGGAGCTGATCCAAAACAAAAAAATTCCAAACATAATTAATAATGCATGCACTTTAATTTATGTATTTATCTTAATAAGATTATTAATATAATTAAAGTGTATTAAGAATATTGAAAAAGAAACTGTGTGTTAGGTCTTGGTTCAATAGGCTATGTTCATTTCAATATGTTTTAATAAACATGTAACCAGTCCAGTCCTCGGCTTGTAGCAAATAATTTTTTTGGCCCTCGGTGTATTTGACTTTGACATCCCTGCTCTGGACAGTGGACACACGCCATCCCTGTCGTTATTATAAAGCAGGAAAGGATAGTTAGGTAACGGCTATAAATAAGCATAATAATATGTGAATAGACAATCTGTGGTAGATATAGAATTCAAAATATATTTGGAAGTATAGGTATAACGGTTGAGAAGTTTAATATGGGCGTAAAATGGACAAGGCTTCATAGTGCAGTCAGTTTATTAAAGATCCAAAATCATCATGGAAAGATTAGGAAGCCACTAAACAGTACTTGAGTTCAGGGGGGATGAGAGGGGATGGAATCCCCCTTAAAAAATCTTAAAAATCATCCCCCTTCTTAAATGACCATCCTCCCATACCATCCCTTGTGACATTTTATTACTGAATGTGTAAAATTTCTACTATATATTAACAGTAATAGCAATAATATTGCCCTTTCAACGGTCAAACATAAGATGGATTTGGATACAAACGTTGAGACATGAGGAAAAAAAGCTTGGTGTTGAGTATGTATATGATTTTATAAATCTGGATTTTTTTTCAGGGTTCACTTTTAGTATTGATCCTATGCAATCAGTTGTAAATGAGACCTAGACCAACCTGAGTCCTGATGCTTGTATTAAGCTCTCTTCCCTTTAGCTTACTCCATAGATGTTATAGGATTTCAGTCTGGGGGGCGGCTGAAATGACCATTTCTGTCTGGCCAACCCTCGTTTGCATAGATCTTTTTGATTATTATTCTGCTGAAGATCCAAAGATGAACAATTTAGACTTTTCTGTCTGAAGCTGTTGTATCTGTGTCTAAAATGTCTTTGTATTTGAAGGAGCTCTTAAAGCCTGAAACTCTGGTAAGGTTCCTTGGGTCATTGTTAGACATAAAGAGCCCACAGTATCACAGATATTCTACCGTACTCTCTAACACTGAGCTTTGAGAATTTATTTTTAACTGCTCTTACTGTAGATACGGGGAGGTTAAAGCGAGTAGCCATGTTTTATGTGATTTCAATAGATATCTTAAGTGGTTTTATGTCCAGTCTTTCCCATGCCAGGGTATGCCATCCTGCCTCTACCAGGACTCTAATGAAAGAAATCACTGTAAATAAACTAGAACGGATGTGATGTTTTTGTTTCAGATGCCTGCTCCTGCTTCAGAGAGTTCATCTGAGCCAGAAGCGATAGCTGCTCCAGTCCCCTCTGCTTCTCCTCATCCTCATCCTCCTCCTCCAACCACTTCTCTCAACCTGCATCACAACAGCCTGCCGCCTTACACCGCCTACGACCTGCAGGTACACAACAACTGGAGAGATGACAGAAATACATCAGGGCATCATGGATTCAAATTACATTAATGATATCAGAGGATATATTAGGATTGGCATCTTTAATGCTGAAAGCATTAAAGATTATTTTTGGGTATTTTTAGCAGTTTGTTTATATATATATTTTTTATTATAATGAAAATGTTGCAAATCACTGCTGATTTTCAAACCATTAAGTCATTAAGTCTCAATTCCCAGCTTGTTTTAAACGTTTCCTTGCTTTAACACACCAGATTTAGATGACTGAAGCTTAGGAGTAGCCTGTTAAGCAGCCATCCAGTGAAGGCAGCTGAAACATGCAGGGCAGTGAGTCTCCAGGAGTAAAGTTGTAAATCTCTGCTTTATGCTATGAATATTTCAAGGCCAACAAAAAATATCTATTAAGTCAGTCACTGATTGTGAAAATTCTCTTAAAAAGATGAGAGTTCTCAAATTTTTATTCATAGCTACATTTAAATATAAGAGACAAAATAAGTAATAAAAATCCAGGAAATCACATTGTACATTATCTTTCAGGATTCATTTGTAAATTATGGTGGAAAAAAAGTATTTGATCCACAAACAGGCTAGATGTCATCACAGACTTCTTTATGAAGCTCCTCTGTTCTCCTTTTGTTTCCTGTATTAATGGCACCTGTTGTAAATCATTATTGTATAAAAAATAAACACCTGTCCACATTCTCAAACAGTCAGACTCCAATCTCAACCATAGCTAATACCAAATAGCTGTTGAAGGGCACCAAGAAGAACGTCTTAGACCTGCACGAGAAGGAGTGAACCTACAGTAGGTTGGTGTGAATAAATCAACAGTGGGAGCAAATGTAAGATAATGGAAGATATACAAGACATAGTCTTCCTCTATCTGGGGCCCCATATAAAAGCTCATACTATGGGGCCATAATGATAATGAGAACAGTGAGCAATTATCCAAGAACTGTGTGAAGAGACCTGATGAATGACCTGCAGAGAGACCAGAGGAACACACTATGCTGAGAGCGACTCACATCCTTCAATGCCAGGTGTGCATTCCCCCCGCCCCGTCTAGGACTGTCAGAGCATATGGATGATCCAGAAGAGGATGAGGAGAATATCATGTGGACAGAAGAAACCAAAATAGAACTTTTTGGCAACAACTCAGTGTGTCGTGTTTAAGTATAATAATGAATGAGTTGCATCCCATAAATACCATATCTACTGTGAAGCATTTTTGTTTATGTATTTTCTATTAAATAACAGGATGACTGATCCGTGATAAGGAAATAATGAGTAAAGCCATGAATGGGGAGATTTTAAACCAAAATCTCCCTCCATCATTGAGAGTATTGAATATGAGACATGGCTGGGTCTTCCAGCATGACAATGATTCCAAACACACCGCTTAGGCAACAAAGGACTGACTTTGTTAAAAGCAATTACAGGTCCTGGAGTGGTCTAGTTGTCCAGTCTTTAGACTTCAACCCAATAGAAATCTTGTGAGGGGGGGTTAAGTCAGTTTTTTTTCCAGCGACAGCCCTGAAACATTACTGCTCCAGATATCTGTGTGGAGGGATGAACCAAAATACCAGCTACAGTGTGAGCAAACCTGGTGAAGATCCTGGTTAGCAATGACAAGTCATTGCCAACAAAGGTTCTGCTCCAGGGAACTTTTGTTATTGACCAAATACTTCATTTCCACCATCATTTAAAAATAAATTATTTTAAAATCCTTCAATGCAATTTCCTGGATAGTCTTTTCTCATTTTGTCTCTCATAAAGCATATCTATGATGACAATGACAGACCTCTCATCTTTCTAAGCAGGGGAACTTGCACAATCAATAACCCAATACTTTTTTTTTTGTCTGCTCTCTGTAATCTTGATGAATCTTTCTTGCAGGGATCCTACGTGTTTCCTGACTCATCAGGCTTGTCAGACGACTCTCAGTCTGGGGCCAGCCACCTTTGGCCCACTATGATCCCTCCGCGCTACTCCCCTCCCCATGAACACCCTGATGAGAAACCACCACCATACAGCCCATAGGACGCTCCAAGAGAAGAAAACGTGGGAGATACTCTTAGATACTGTGAGCTTTTCTTCACAAACATAAGGGAAGGAAGGCCACTGGGTGGACTAACACAGCCCAGCTGAAGAGAACAAGTGTTCCCTGGGCAACGCTCACACTCTGCTTTGTGTGTGCATATTAGTGCCCAGAGGGATACAACCTGCTCCATGGCAGGTTTGTTTACACATCTGTCTGCCTTAATGCATATAGACCTCTAACACTGCACCATTTAAAGACTTGGACTTATCCTGTACAGAAACTCTCTTCCAGTTCACGCTTTACATTCATGTAATTAAACTGGAGACGTAGGGATTGTCTGAGAGTCTCCTCTGCTGTCATTACTATCAATCTAGATGAAAGCTTTGGTGTCCAAATATGGATCAGCATCCAATACATCTATGCTTCATAGTCTCTGAACGTTACTAAAAGAAACAGTTTGTGGTGATGAAGGCCTTACATGCTCATGTTTGTACAGCAGCATGTCGTAGTTAGCAGAACGAGGCCTACTGTAGAAAACGGATCCTATTTCTTTCTGTTCTCTTGCAGTTTTATTCAGGAAATACTAATAACCCTACAGTAGCTGGAAAATAGATTTATTTACTCTATTTATTCTATTTCTACTGAAAGGCTGGTTTTCATAAATAAATGTTTGTGTTCCTTTTGTGTCAGGAAGTTGGTTTTCCCAGACCTCAAATGCCAACACATGCATGAAATGCAGTAAAAGCTGCAGGAACACTTTTCTTTCACTCCTTTGATGGTGGGTAACAATCTAAAACCAGCCACATACGTATAAAAAAAAAAGCTGGAAATTAATCTATAGCTAATCAGTAGCATGTTCCTCTAAATGTTTGAATGTGTGAAAAAAAAATAGATTTAAATAAATTAGATCACTGAAAAGGGATTCACTTCAGAAGTTTTAACTCTTACTATTGATTTGTTATTCAAGGAGGAATGATAATGGCTTAGAGCTTGCAGAAGCCCAAACTATTGATTGAAATTTTTACGGGTTACTGAATGCATTTTATGAAGTTTAAAACAAACTTATTGTGTTGTGCTGATCTGCTTCAAGACACAAAGATTTATCCGGGAAATGAGCTGTAACTGTCTGGCATCTCTGTTAAGCCAACATTAAACCAAAAGCTGTGCCGTTTGACTCGGGCTGACGAGGAAACGGCAGACATGCGTACTTCAAAGCTCTCATTTCGAAATGAAAGCACTTTTGAAAAGTTTTGAGAAATGATATTGAGGAATATTATCTGCAACCCTTTAAGTCTAAGGTGAATTTCCAAAGTTCCTTTGATTTTCAGGGACATTTTATCTGCTGGTGTTTGATCTTAGGGTATTAAGTTCAAAGTCAGTGTAGAGATCTAACTGGAAATTTGTAGAGCAGCTCATGTTCCCTCTGCTGACAAGTTTTATGAAGACGACTTCATTTTCAGCAGGGACTTGGCACAGACCCACACTGCTAACCATGTTAACACTGTGACACTTGGTTGCAGCAAACTGGGCTGACTCAAACCCCATGCAGAATTTAGGAAGAGGAATTGGAAGCTTTGCTGGGTTTAAATTTTTTATTTTTATTTTTTCGCAACAGAATGGCTTTAAAAATACATAATATATTTTTTAGATTCACTTTTCTTGTTATTAGCTTGGAAATTCTTCATTTTTGTATTGTTTTTTTTACATCTTGATACATACCTGATGTTAAAGCTAACAAGGAATTCCTATAGCAGATGAGTTTTGTTTTATTCATAGGGGCATTATCAGTCAACAAAGCTTCAATCTTTACGGTTCTAAACAATTTTTAATCCACCAGACTTGGGGTCAAATGGCTCTTTGAATTTTAAAGGTTGCAGACCAATGGATGCAGATGACCTGAAGGTCGCTGTAAAGCATCACTGGCTTCAGTAGCAGCTCCATAAGCTGATCATCTCCATACCATGCTGCAATAAGGCAGTGATCTGTGTAAAAGGAGCGCCTAAGTATTGAGCTTATACTACAGCACACAATAATATAAGTAGGCTAACATCTGTGTGTTAAAAACATGAATAGTCTTATCTGATGTTCTCATTTTATGAAGGTTTTCATTAGATATTAGACATGATCGTCTAGATTCAAAGAAATGCTAAAATAGGTCACTCTGTATTAATTTAATCTAGATTATGCATCAGTTTCCTATTTTCAATTAAATCACTGAACAAATTTTCGAAAATATGTTAGCCTAGTCCATGAGCTCAGTATTTAAACTAGTTTGCTGCAGCTTCATTCCAGTATCAGAACATTTCTGTGTACGAGTTGAAACGGGACGTCTTTGCTCAGTCCGCACTGATGGATCCGAACAATCAGTTCAGGATTCATTGATGTGATTTTAGGATAAACGGAAACAGATTTGTAAACATCACAGGAGGACGTGTTTGTCAAAACGATCGCTCCCAGCTGCTCGTTTTATAATTTTGTCATTGTGTCGGCAGTGGATGAGGGATCAGCTCCTTCTTAGTCTTTGCCAATAAATCATGTGTAATGCACGTTTTTTTTTCTTCACCAAAGTTGACGGTGTGACTGTACAGAGAATGTTCTCTGCTGATGTTCTAAATAAACTATGTTGGTTTTGATTCCTTTTGTTTTTTTTATGTTAGCTTTGTATATGTGGTTTATTTTTAATTGGTGCACACTGAAGCAGATAATCCTCATGACTCAGCAGGATTAAAGATCAAATGAGATTTTTCAGCTTCTACATTTAGTCTGAATTCACAGAGAAATAAAAGGTTTCAAGAAAATATTGAGGGAGCAAAAATATTAACATTTTCTATTCATTTTGGAAAACTACAATAGCTTGAGTTCTAAATTTTTTTCAGCATAAAGGGGATTTCCTAAAGACAAAGACTTTTTTCAAGAGAAATCAATGTGTTTAAGTTTAGGATAATGGTATATCTGTACTATAAAAGAAGCTTGTGTCTTTACATCTTTTGCACCTGATGCAGTTCTTTACAAAATGGAGATTTGAACCTTGTTCTCCTGGACTAGTCGGACACTTTAACCACTTCACCAGGAAGACACATAGGAGGCACGTTAGAGAATAAAACAGGACACCAAATATTGTTGTTTATACGTTTATTAAAAACCAATTTGTAGCATTTAATCTGATAACATGAGTGTAGATTCAAGCATTAGCTCTACCTTTACCTGCAAAAAGCATGTTCTACTTTCTGACATGTAAAACAAAGGAAAAAACAACAACCCCTGATTTAAGTGCTAAGTACTAACGAACCAGTTAGTATCCCTACCTTTACGTTAACATAAAAAAAATCCAGTTAACATGTAAGTAATTCAACCAGCATACTGTTTTTTAAAAACCACTTTTAGGACTGTACAAATGTTCGGCCCCAAAGACACAATAAAAAAATATAATTTACAAAAGAATTAACATTAAAATAATAAAAAACATAATCAGAGAAAACTGCTAATATTAACAGCTGGACTATTTTATTGAAGACAGTTTCAATATTTCGAAAATCTTATTGCATTCCATTACTTGCATTTTATAGTTTTTTATGAAAAAAAAAAGTAGTCGAATATAGACGCCATCAGAAAACAAAGCACGGTTTAATAAATGAATGGCTCATATTAATAAAACAGATCACCCTGTTCCTGATCGATGAAATGTGACTTGATCAGCCTGCATGAGACATCCCACCTTTGAGTAGTCAGGAAATTTAACATTATATATATATATATTAGGGCTGCAACTAATGATTATTTTGCAAATCGATTAATCTGTCAATCATTTTTTCGATTAATAATGGGATAACCAGAGGTTTCTTAAAAGAGACTTTTTGTGAAATCAAACCAGGTGAAACTGAAACATTTCCACTTGAGAAATTCTGGATAGAGGATATTGACAGACGAAGATGTTTATTTTAAATGCAACATGTTTAAATATAACTGTTTTAATTTTTGTATAATTGCTGCTCTAAGTGCGTTGCTCTCAGCTAAAGACATGTTAGAGTCTCTACACTCCAGTTAAAAATTAATTGATTACCGGTACTAAATTAGTTGACTATTATTTCAATAACCGATTAATCACAATCCGATTAATTTTTTCAGCCCTAGTATAATATATATATTATATATATAGATTATTATATATATATTATTAGATAGTATGTTATTTATATTTATGGGGGTGCTCACTGGGTAGCACTGCTGCCTTGCAGCAAGAATGTTGCGGGTTCGATTCCCGGCCCGGGGTCTTTTCTGCATGGAATTTGCATGTTGTGCGTGTGTGGGTTCTCTCTGGGTACTCCATCTTCCTCCCACAGTCCAAAAACATGACTGTAAGGTAATTAGGCTTCTCTGAATTCTCCTTAGCTGAGAATGGTTGTCTCTGTGTTGCCCTGTGACAGACTGGGGACCTGTCCAGGGTAAACCCCGCCTCTCCCCCGTAGACAGCTGGCCAAGCTCATGGCCCCACTTGGGATAAAGCGTGTCAGAAAATGGATGAATATTATATCTATACATAAATAAAAGGTCCCATTATCAAATCAACTAAAAGCAATGACTTAACAGATCTTTTCCTGTTGAATGTCCATAGCTGCTATAATAGATATACAACAAATTTCATCACAGATTTTTTTAAAGGCAAAAAAAAAAAAAAGTCTTCACTTTTAGAGACAAGAGAATGTGCACATTCTGGTATGAAAGAGGCTTTATAACTTCTAGTAGACTCGTCTGTTACGACAATCTGCAAGCATTAGTGACAAACTGTGGGGCAATGTATAACATTTATAATAAAAGTTTAACCATTCAAATCTTGTTAACTTCATAACATGAAGACATTGCTAAAAGCCTTTATATGCTGAGGGTTTAGATTTTGTCTTCAGATAAGTTGAAAATGAGGACTAAAATAGAAGAATAACCAAGAAGGCACAGGATAGGAGGACTGACTGAGGTCTATGATGTGATATATTCAAACTCAGTGGCTCCATCTAGAGGAGAGCTCATGGCTGATATTGGCTGTGTGTGAGAGTCTGGTCTCATGTGAGCACCCGGCTCAGTGAAGATGTCGTCCCAGCTCAACATCCTGTTCTGGGATGGTGAGTGGATGGCCTCCGTGTCTGCAGAGTTCATTTCCAGCATGCTACCATCATCAGAAATGAGTGGCGAGTCCTGTAGGTTGGTCACCCATGACTTTTTCTTATTTGATCTACATGGCAGCAGGCGGTACAATTTGTTGCCTCCGTCATCTTTCTCCTTCCTCCCGCATGCATCCTGATTGTGGGCCTGCTTGCAGTGGTTGGAGAGAACCTGGTAATTTACAAACATTTCATTACAGATCAGGCACTGGTACCTCCTTTCACCAGTGTGGGTCACTTCGTGTTTAGTTCTGTATTCTGCCAGGGCGAAAACCTTGTTGCAGAACCGACATGGGTACTTCTTTTCCCATGAGTGAGTATTGAAGTGACGACGCAGGCTAGTGATGCACACGTACGGGCGTCTACACACGGCGCAAACGTAAAAAGTCTTTCCATCCATGACCACCTCATAGTGATCCTCTAGTTCCATGGTGTTCTTCTTTTTCTTTGGACCTTCCAATGGCGACAACGGCATGTCATCAAAGGGTTTTTTGGGCGTTGCCATCAACGCTCTTTTCACTTTGGGTTTAGAGCCTCCTTCTCCTGGATCTTCTTTCATTTGGACAATGTCGTAGGTGTCCTCTCCAATGTTAGCGTACACTTTACAACCCGATGAAAGAGAATCGATCTGTGTGCCTGTGTCCAGGGTCACCGTCTGTTTTGCTTCTGTACTTCCCTTGAGGTTGTCAGCAGTGATAGATGAGATTTCAGAAACGTCCATGAGCCTTATCTTGAAATCCGAATGCTGAGATGTTGCCACTTGCTTTTTGTGAACCCCCAACATCTCGCTAGTTTCAAATGTCTGGGAAGCACTTGTCGGCTGAGGGGTGAGGCTGTGGGATTGAGAAGGTGTTGTGGGGACACTCCCAGAGGACACCCTAGGTGATAAGTTACTGGAGCTGCTGTCTGGATTGTTTAGAGGACTGTTCACTTGTCCAGTGATGCTAGGATACTTGGCACCATTGGTTCTCAGGACAGCTGCTGTTTTTACTGCATGATTTGAATCTTCACTCTGCCTGGTTCCAACGCTTTCTGAATCCACTTTGTCCAAATCAATTATTTCAGAGGGATCGGCTCTCCGACTTGCTGCTCTGCTTTGAGCATCTGTATGCGAAACAAACACAACATCGTCCAAGTCCTCCTCATCAGCTGCAGGTTTCTTCGCCTGGTTGAATTCCTCTGCAGAAATGGAGAAAGACTCAGCAATCACAGGCATGATTTCCGAAGAAGAGCTGCCTTTGTTTCCCAACTCCTGCGACAAACCTTGCAAACCTTTCACTTGTGAAAGTGGAGAATGCAAGTTAGAAATAAAATTCACTCCCAGTATCTTTCCAGCTTTTATGAGCTCCTCAAGCATGTCAGACCGGATGCGGACAATTTTGGAGCTGTAGATGTAGTTGAGGACATGTTCAAAGATTTCTGGCTTGATGAAGTTAAGCTCGATCACTTGTCCAGCGACATCAAAGAGCTGGTGAAAGTACGTGCTAGAGGCGGACAGAATTGTTTTGTGCGCTCTGAATTTTTTGTCCTGTATAATGATGGTGACATCACAAAACAATCCATGGCTTCGCTGCTCATTCAGAGACTTCAGAAGAGCTGCCGAATACTGCGTGTCAGTCGCAGATATCAGCTTTAAGCCTGGCATGGCTGCAGGAAGAGAACAGACAATCAAAACAGGGAAACACTTAGAATCCATCCTGCGTATATAGTTAGGTCAATCTGTCAGTTTATCATAACTAAATACACCTCACTCACTATGCAGGAAATTAATAAACAAAAAACCTGAAGAGCTTCTGTTTGTTCAGGTTGGATTATATGAAGATACCTCCAGAGATCAAGAAAAACGCTCAGTTGTTCTTTTCACGATCCAACAACTAACTTAAAAGTATTATACTTAAATTTTACTAAAATAAAGTAGTACTTAATGCTGAAGTCCAGAGAAAAAAAAAACTGGGCACAAATAAAAAAAAAAGAGTGATCCTTTGTGGAACTATGTGTGTCTGCCAGCTTTACTAAACATTTTTCTGCCCATTTATCTTGGGAAGGTATTACTACTATATCATTCCAGCAAAGCTAATTTGATGTTGTCTATTACATAGAATTTACACATATGATTTAACAACAGTCCAGGGTGGAGATATGCAACCATGTTACCATGATGAACAAGCCTGACAAAATATATGAACATACATACATTTAAGGTATAGGAAAAGGAATTTAAATTAGCTACTTCTGACCATATACATACTCACTAAGAATTATTATTTAAAAAGTGACAAGTAACTGATTTAAACCGTTACAATATTCCTGTTTAATCAAATGGTTACCAAATTACAGCACATATTTAACGATAAAAAGAGAATTTATACCTTTTATCTTTAAAAACTTGAATGCTCTTTTGTTAAAGCACGTCTATGCTGCTTAAATAAACATTATGTTACTAGTTTTTAACATATTAGAAGCTAAATAGTCGACCGGTGCAGTTAGTATGCTAACAAAGGTAAAGATGTCTTCTATCTAACGAAGAGGAAGTGCGGCCTGTTGGCTAGCATTCTGTTAGCATGGGAGGATTTATTACAAAAATACGGGCAAATAAATGACGTAGAGGGTGAACTTATAACACGCAAAGTGACACTTGGATATTTACTTGCAACTTAAATGATGGAGCTAAATCTAAACCTGAAGGTAGACACAAAAGCTAGCGGGTAAATAATTACCTTCTTCGCAGAAAGACAGCAAACCGGAACTACCCTACAGTCAGCTGCGTCACCGGAAATTAATTGAAGACTTTCAGAGTAAAGGTATCAAATCCGTGCTTTTTAAATTTAACTGGCTTTAGGAAAAAAATGCATTATAACCGTGCTATTACATATGAAAAAAGGTACAATCCATCTGTGTAATGTTTCACAAAGCAACTGACTGACCAATATGGCTGTGATATCTTTGTGATAATTGGTTATTAATGAGTCATCCGACAAATCTTTTTTAGGATAAACGTAAATCTCTTTTCACAGCCACAAAAGCAAATCATTTTTTAAATTATCCTTTTTTTTTTTTTTTTTTTTTTTTACTTCATTTAAACAAAGTAAATACAAACAAGTAAAGCAATATCAAGAGTACAAATATGTGGAAGGCATAGTAGAGGCAGATTTTAAAAATGGAAGCACAAGGCAACACAAAAATATAAATAAATAAAAGGAATGGCTGATAATAATGAAATAATTATTAAAATGGCAACAAGGGGATTCATGTTAGGATGATGATCATCAGTGTTTCAGTCAGGTATTCGTATGATTCGATATTTAAGAGATTTCAAATATAACTTGAAATCAGTTCAAAAAAAAGATTGGGGATGATATCAACACTCTTTGTTTATGAATAAAGAATTTAGCTAAACACAAAATAAGGTTATTGATTTGTTTTTCAATAATATTCCAAAAGTTACCATATCTCTAGAAATAGATTCAGGAAGTGCAATTTTCGATTTGATCCATGTTTCTAAGCAATTCCAAAATGTTATGGTTTGATTGCATTCATAGAAGACAATTGTTTCTATATCACTTTCACAGAATGAGCATTTATTGTTCTCAATATTAAAACGAATTCTTAGTAGTTCTTTTGAGGAGTAAATTGCATTTAAAATTTTAAAGTGAGTAGCTTTTCGTTGTATGAGGAGCTTTAGATTAAGAGTTCTCAGTGTTTCAATCGATTTTTTTTCTCAAATTCGCAAAGAAAGTTATTTTTATGTATTTTCCCAGGGACCAAAAATTTCGTTTAGACAGTTCCTAATTGTATTGTTGTTGGATTTTTGGTCAGTGATTGATGTTCCATTATTGATAAATTGGTTAGTTCTGGGGTCATTGGATAATATGTTATTATATTTTTAATCTGATTAATAGATTGTTTTGGTAAGGTTTTAAGAAATCTGCTAAATTCAGCTTTTGGAACTTTAGTCCCCTTCCGGAACTGTCGCTCTGTGGATTTGGTAGATAGACGGACCTGTTTAAGCGTTGGACACAATTTCTTTTCCTGTTTTTAATTACGTATTAGAATCGTTAGCAACATACTTTACCGTACCCTCTAGCTGTGTTAAACTGCATTAGGCAGTAAGGTCACAGATATTAGAGGGAATGCCTCTCTCTGATCGGTCGAGCTCCGACGGGGACAGGGGCTCCCGCAGTCCTCGGGCCCGGAGACCCCGGACACGATCCCGAAGCCGAAATCGCAGCAGAGACCACAGCTTGTCTCCGGACAGCTTCGGGCCCAAACTCCCGAAACCCCGCAACAAAGAGAGGGAGCAAGAGGAGCGGGAGCGTCGATTTAAAGAGGCGAGAAATATCAGAAGAATCCGCATCGGGAGTCCCGGTCTGAGCCGGTCCAGATCCAGATCCAGGTCCAGAGAACGTCACAACAACGGCAGCAACCACAGCCACTGGTCCGAGCAGCGGGACGGAAAACATGGAGGATTCAAAGATGACTATTATTACCAGCAGCAGAGGGACGATGTTCAGAGGCAGAGACAGGAGGCTTTTATTGCCAGGTAACAATTAATAAAGAATCCCCACAGCATAATGCAGCCACCACCATGTTTTACTGTGCAGCTGTTGTGCTCAGACTAATATAGTTATATATAGCAGTCTGATTGTAGGATGACTATCTATTATCTCTGAATAATGACTTTAAGGTAGCCTTATAAAGTTACATCTGGACAAAAGAGAAAGATTATGGTGGAAAAGTATTTTTTCCCCACCTATTTTAGAATGAGGAACTCTTGTAATATTTTTATTGTGCTGCAGGCGTCTGCAGGAACGGGAGCGGATTGGTGAGCTTGGTTGTCCTGAAGTCTGGGGATATTCTCCAAGAGTGAAAGAACCAGAGTAAGTGAAGAATCCACTAAATAGATGGGTTGGCTTTATGTTGCTGCTGTTAATTATGCCTTCTCTCGCCATCAGCTCTGATGAATTTACACCAGTTGAAGAAGACGAGAAAAACAGCAGCTCAGATTTGAGCTCAGAAGGTGGGTAGATTCTGACTAAAAATCAGTGGCAGTGAATCCTTCTAGGGATATTTACTGATATATGGTGGAAAGAAACAGTATTTTAACTTAGATTTGCAGCATTTGCACTTTTTTAACCTCTTCTATGCAATCTTATTTGTGGTTAACAGAGGAAAAGAAGAAGAAAAAGAAGAAGAAAAAGAAGTCAAAGAAAAATAAAACCAAAAAACACCCAGAGGACCGCGAGTTGGAGTCCGATTCAGAGGGTGAGACATTTTGAATTGAATGTACTTTTTTTTATTATTTTTCTTTTCTTTTCTTTTTTTGTTTAGCTAAATTGTGTTTTCTTGTTTTCTAAAACAGAAGAAGTAAAGAAGAAGAAAAAGAAGAAGAAGAGTAAGAAGTAGGTTCTGATATGGCAGCCACCAACCAGCTTAATTCTCCAGTTCATTTTAGTTGTGTTTGATTAAAATCTCTTAATTGTGTTGCAGGTCTAAGAAGTCCAAGAAGAAGAAGTCCAAGAAGAACCAGAAAGAGTCCAGTGACTCAAGCAGCGAGGAGTCAGAAGAAGAGGAAGAAGAGACCGGCGGACTGATGTGGGTGGAGAAAACTGGAACCGATGAAAACATTGTTGGTCCAGAGGCTCCGCTCACTCACATGTCGCAGGATGACAAACCGCTGGAGTGAGTCTCTTTAGATTTTCTCTAGATCTTTAAGAAGCTTTTTTTGGAAACCCTGAAGATTATTATATTTCAACCACGTTTTGTCAGTCATGTGTTGTCTGATGGCCTTACGTTTTGTCTTCCCCCAGTTTTGGTCATGCGCTGTTGCCGGGTGAAGGTGCTGCTATGGCAGAGTACGTGAAAGCGGGCAAACGAATCCCAAGAAGAGGAGAAATCGGCCTCACCAGCGATGAGATCGCAAACTTTGAGAAGTCCGGTTACGTCATGAGCGGCAGCAGGTGGGCACAGCTCAGAAGTCAGAGTATAAATTGTAGAAAACCAAGACATAATCTATGCTATACACAACAAAAGGGTTGGTTTGTATGTCCTATAGGGCTGCAACTAATTAGTATTTTACAAATCGATTCATCTGTCAATTATTATTTCAATTAATAATCGGATAGCCAAAGATTTATTGAAGGATATTTTAACTAAATCAAACCGGGTCAAACTAAAACTGAATAGAGCATATTGACAGTTTCTAATCTTAAATACAAGATGTTTATATGTTTTCTTTTACAATTTTGATATAATTTCTGCAATAGGTGGTTTGCTCTGTCAGCTAAAAGCATTATTTAGTGTCTCTATACCCCAGTTAACGATTAATCAATTACTAAACGATCATTTCAATAATCAATTTATTTGATTGTTCCAGCCCTTGTGTCATAGACATCTTTACAAAAGTATCAGTATTGGTTAGCCATTTCACATTACATCAGGAACCCAGCATGATGGCAGTGGCTGCATCATGCTGTGGAGATATATTTTTTCAGATTAGCAAAGGTGACAGAAGCACCCTAAAAGCCATGTGAGGGAAAATGCTATGAAAGAGTTCTTCCTCAGATTAGAGGGCCGAAGACTAAACCTTTGCAAGACATATTTTATCAGTCAATATTCCTCTCAAAAAAAAATTATTTTTAATAAATTTGTAATGTTTTACAGGAATTACTATGACCTAGAAATTTAATTCTTGGCAGAAATTAACCAACAGTGGGTGAAATGAAGAGAAATGTGAGGTTCTTGCACACTCCTTTACAGATAATTAGAATTTTTTGGTGTGAATCTGCTAACAGAACAGGGAAATTACAAAAAGATATTATGAAAAAGGATTTGGGACATGTTCTTTGCATCTTTTCTGAGAGAAATTATTTAAATTGGAAATTAAACTACCCTTAAAGGTTGGTGCTACTTCACCTAATTCCCTGGGATTAGAGACTGAAATACCTGGAGGACCTTTTGAAAAGAACCTGGAATTTAAAAACAGTTTCTTGCCATTATTTACAAGTCAATGAGGAAAACTTAAGATTTTCTCAAACATTCGCTGGAAGTTGACGTTTTCTATCCACTGGTCTTCCAATTTATTAAATATAGATAATTTTGGTGTACATTTCCCCCCTTAAACCAAACTGGTTCTTTATTGCAGCTTTTCTTGTTTGTTCTCACCGTAACACTGATAGATAATCTGTTCCTCCCCCACAGACATCGGCGTATGGAGGCTGTGCGTCTGAGAAAGGAAAACCAGATCTACAGCGCAGATGAAAAGAGAGCTCTGGCCTCCTTCAACCAGGAGGAGAGGAGGAAGAGGGAGAGCAAGATCCTGTCGAGTTTCAGAGAGATGGTGTATAGAAAAACCAAAGGCAAGGAGGAGAAATGACTGCTCTATTGTTCCCTGCTGCTGGAAGGACCTGCTTTGTCTGGTGGCTTAAAGTGTTGACTCTTATTTCTCAGTCTCATTGAAGTGAGGGACAATTTTAAGCATAAAAGAAAAAAAGAAATATGGAAGTTCTTTTATTTTTTGGGTTATTCAAAATCCACATTAATATAAAAAAAATAAAAGACCTGTTTCTCTTTACAACTGTTTTCAGTGACATTATGCTAAGGAAATGTCAAAAATTCCTTAGTATAAATAAAAAAAAAAAGTAAAAATTTTTTGTAAATGTTTTAGTTGTTTAAAAAAAAACAAAAAAAACTTTGGTTTAATAAAAGATCTACTTAACAAGAAAGTGTGGTTTTACTAACTAGTACACAGAAGGAATTGTTTATGGATGAAGTAAATGCTTGTTTCTTTGTGTATTAGACTTTAAAGCCTTTTTTTATATTTCAGCAGAAAAAGTAAAATGTTGATTCATCCAATAGAAGTTTAATTTAAAGAGCTAATTGTGATAAACCCAAAGTAATAGGTAAAAGATAACAGCATTCAAACTCTTCCAGTGTGGAACAGTTTATTTAATCACAACTGATTTCAAAAGAAAAATTTTTTTCATACATTTAATTTACAACATCGACGTTTCGGCTCTGCATGATCCTCTTCAATTAATGTTCTCCAGTCCCTGTGGGGGGAAACAAAAACAAAGCTGTTATGGGACATAAGGTTGTTTATAGGAAAACACACGTTCTCATTCTTCAGACTGATTTGACTAAATTCTCTCCAGCTCCAACTGCAGCTGATGTTTGTCTTTTTTGGTAAAACCTAAAGCTGGAGTCTAGAGTGGATTAATTCCAACAATGCAGATGTTAGCATCTGATTCTCTTTGTACAGGAGATAAGTAAATGATTATTTCATGACAGCTTTGAGGATCCTAATGATTTCAAAGTTTTTTTTCCAATGAATTGGCCACTCATGCTGCAAAACACCCCCATAACATGATGGTATCACCGCCGTACCTTAAAACATGGACTGTATATTTTTTCGTCCAAACACCTCAGTTTTAATATCTCAAAAGATCTCTCATTACTCATTATATTTCTAACGATCCTCACTAAATCTAATAAACAGTGTCACTTTAGTTGGTCTGAGTAAGTTAATATCTGGTTTAACCTGTTCAAATAAAATAGCCAGGAAGTATCGTTCTTTGATTAGTGAGGAGTTTTTTTTTTTGTATTTACAGTACAGGAGTTATCAATATCAAAATTAAATCCCTGGAATGTGTTTTTTGCTGGATATATCTTGTGTATAATTCTATAAGATACTTCTTTGATTTTTATCATCTAATCGACCAAGTTTTGTTTTCAATAAATGTCCTTAAACAAGAGGACTGAAACATTTTAGCAGAAGGAAACATTACATTTACAAAAATAGATCTTATTTGAACATTTGATTGTTTGCAACATCTACATTTTACAGAAAACATATTGTTCACAGAAGCTGCTATAAAAACCTCTGGAGTGGCAGTAAAACATTTCCCTTTGGTGTAACAGCATCATCAAATCTAGAAATTATTTTTTTTTAAAGCAATATTTGATCATCAGATTTCATAATTTGTGAAACTAAAACAAAACTAATATGACCCAGTTTTGTGATATACAAAGATCTGTTTTTATATTGAATATTCCTGTTACTCTATAGATATAATAGTTAGTAGGTGAGAAATGTTTGTACAGCATCTTCCATGCCAGCAGAGCTTGCCTGTCAAAAGTTGCCAATTTTACAGTTTAAGATTATAGTCACATTTAACAAAAAGCTGAGTTCTCCAACTGAACTACAAATACATTTTCAGGCAAAGCATTCCAAATATCTTCCTTTTATTTATTTAATACTGATTTTTGAATCTTTTATAATCCTCTTCCTGTCTTATCTTCATTCCACCTCTTTGGCCATTTTTCCATTTCTTCACTCTTAATAAGTGATTTTCCTTCCCCCTTCCTAAAAGAAATTGTAATGATTATTGTTCCCTCTAAAGCCATTTTTGCTAATATATCTGCTTTTTCATTGACTTTTACACTTTCATGTGCTAGAATTATCTTCCTCTTCATTTAACTTGGACATTTATTTTAAACCACTGTCTAAGATTTCATAACTATATATATATATATATATATATATATATATATATATATATAATTAATATTATTGGGAACGATCTGTTGGTATTTGAAGCAGACTCACCTTGGACTGGAAGTGCTCACCCGTTCCTGACACCCTACTGTCTCTCTGCATCAGGTACCACTGCCACGGAATCCGGGCGACCCTTTTCTCCTGAAGGGGATAAAACAGACAGCCTCAGTCAGACCATTTAGACCAGAAATAAACAGGCAGACGGTTGTTAGGTCGCCGTCTTTCACCTTTCCACCGTTGGTGAACTTGTGGACGTTTGCAGTCACAATCCCCGGAATAATTAGACACACGGTCATAATACCGAGGCTGGGAAGGATTTCATACCACATGTTTACCCGCTGTTACTGCCAGGAGTATTTAACAAGCAGCGAGGACAACAAAGTTGTCCCTAAAATTGGCAAAAAGCTTCGTATTATGCTAACGCTGCTAAGAAAATGTCGACCGCTCTGACCTGACTTCCGTGACGAGAGGGAAGGATTTCCGGTTCAAGCTTTTTCAAAGTAAAAGCATCAAGAGCGTCCTTCGTTCAAAGAAGTTTTTGTTTTCGGCTTGAGAACAACACTATCACACCAAAACTTGCTAAATTTAATCAATATAAAAACACTATATATTTTAAAACCAGAGGGACCAGGAAAATGTAGATGAAAATGTCACAGTCATAAATTTCTAGCGATACATAGTAAATTATTCAAATTTATCTATTAACGCCACATCAATCACTGACCAAAAAAATCAATAACCATACAATTAGGAACTGCCTAAACGAAACTTTTGTTTCGAATAAATAAAAATAACCTTCTTTGCAAATTTGAGAAAAAATAAATTCAAACACTGAGAACTCTTTATCTAAAACCCCCCATACAACCAAAAGCTAAAGAAACCCACTTTAAAATTTTAAATGCAATTTACCCCTCAAAAGAACTGCTAAGAATTAATGTTAATATTGATATCAATAAATGCTCATTCTGTGAAAGTGATATAGAAACAATTGACCATGTCTTCTATGAATGCAATTAAACCAAAACATTTTGGAATTGCTTAGAAACATGGATGAAATAAAAAAATTGCACTTCCTGAATATATTTATAGAGATATGGTCACTGTTGGGATATTATTGAAAAACAAAACAATAGAACTCTTTTGTAACCTTATTTTGTGTTTAGCATAATTCTTTATTCATAAACAAAAAGTGTTAAGATCATCCCCAATCTTTAAAGTTTTTTTTTAATCTGAATTCATGTTATATTTGAAATCTTTTAAATGTATCGAATCATACGAATACCTGACTGAAATACTGAAATGCTTATCAATAATGCCTTGTGTTTCCATTTTTGAAATCTGCCTCTACTATGCCTTCCACAGATTTGTACTGTTGCTATTGCCTTACTTGTTTCTACTTACTTTGTTTAAAAAAAAAACATTGTAAATTATTACAATTATATGCTAAATATTTTTGAGATCCTAATACAACAAATAAAAGACAAACATTCACTTATATTTTACACTCTTTTGGATAGGTTTAATTTAAAAGTTAATACAGTTTTTGTTCATCTTTATCACAGAGGAGGATCACTGATTTATACATTTTCTTTCAGTATAATATGGGGGGAAAAGTCAGAATTCTGACTTCAGTCTCAAAATTCTTTATGACACATCTCTACGATATATTAAATTTTTTAAAGAAAGCAATACAATTACCATTTTTAAGGGCACAATCATGCTGGATTTTTACTGTGGAGTATACATTAAAGTAGAAGCTATAAAAAGACACAAAAGGAAATTTTGAATATCAACAAATATAATTAAAATAGTTTTTAAAATAAACAATAATCAAATAGTGCTGACAACTGATGAACTGAAAGACTTATGAACATGAAAGCGAGAAATTAAAAGGATGGTTGCAAAGACAGGCAAAGAATGAAGTTTTAAAGGAATATTGGGAAATGAAAGAAAAATAAACGATATTCACAAATTAAGGAAAGCATTATTTATTTATCTACAGAATACAAAATAAAAAAATAAATAAAATTTGATGTAAAGTAATGTTGCTACACACTCATGTACAGTAGGTGGCGGTATGCTCCTTAAAGTTGCTTGCGATCCGCCATAACAGAAAATAAGGAGAAGAAGAAGTAGTAGCGCTGACAGGGGGTCAGGCGCTCTTCATCTCCCCCTTGTGGTGGCGACTGAACTGCAAGTTTAGCCGTTAGAGAGGAAGTTGATCAGCTCGGTTGGTTCAGGCAGGCTAACTTGCTAAAAAAAAGTAAACAAGTTTTCTGGCTGCTATCAAAGTAAACACTGTAGCCTTTCAGCTATGAAAGAAGACAAAGAAAACACGCGACCGAAGGAGAAAAAAGTCGAGATAAGGTGTGAAGATGGAGAGAAGACGGAGAAGTGTAAGGAGAAGAAGGAGACCATGACAAAGGTAGAAACTGCTAGCAGAGCTGTTATTGCTAGCAGCAGCTGCTTAAAGGTTTGACTAGTTTAAAAAGATCGCATCATTCGTTAAGAACTATGGAGTTAAACTAGTTTAAATTTGTAAAGTTAAGATTAAATAGTATGTTGCGCTTTATTTTAAGGTAATATAAGTTTGATTGTGAACATTATTTTTAACTGTGTTTAAACAATAATCTCCAAGATTGTGATCAGGAGGTTACCTCCAAATCTAACTAAAGAGGAGCTGGAGGAGCAGCTGCAGCCTCTTCCAGAGGTGGACTACATGGAGTTTTTCTCTAACGACACCAGGTAGTTCTCTAATTACCACACCTCCTCTGTGTTCATGTTTATTTATTTTTCTAAAACTCATTTCCCTCCGCAGCCTTTTCCCCCATCTCTTCGCCAGAGCTTATATCAGTTTCAAAAATCAGGAGGACATTGTTCTCTTCAGGGATCGATTCGATGGATATGTCTTCATAGATAACAGAGGTATGATTGGGAAAAAGAAATAACATTTTCCAAAGAGTGAAATCAATGCATGATTGTTGTCTGTATATGTGTGTTGTTCCTTAACAGGACAGGAGTATCCTGCCATCGTGGAGTTTGCCCCTTTCCAAAAGACGGCTAAGAAAAGAAGCAAGAAGAAGGACTCAAAATGTGGAACAATTATTGAAGGTAAAATTGTTCTACTTTTCTACTATAAACTCTAATAAAACAGAGGCTCGTACTAAAAAGAGGGTTCAGCTCAGTCTGTGGCTTCTATAAGAGATGTGACCCAACAATCTGTATTATAGTAGATCAGACTAAGAAGGCTGATTTTTCTTCCAGGCAATCATTTTAGGCAACCCAGGGCAGTGTTGTGCATGAACGCATTCAATGAACCTTTTTTACTGGATACTTTCCTAATTTTAGTGGAAGGTGAACTGAACGGATCACTTTGAAATATCGAATGTGAGCAAGAGCAACATTAACTCTGAGAATTAAGGCCAATTTGTGCTTCTGACCCATAGCCTCTGCAACCGTCAAATCTGTCTCTTTGTGCAACCATGCTCCCTGCGCAGAGGCTCTGCAAGCATCGTTGCACACCTCAAAAACATTCTGACTACTCGTCGGACGGATGCAAACTCGCGGAGACCTCAAGTAGTAATGCACAGACAAAAAGCAGCTGTGATTGGTCCTTGGTGTGCCTTTCGGGCTGTCTGTGTGGTTAATCTGTCTATTTGCAAACTCCATTAACAGAACCTGTTCCTCTTCGATGTCTAGAAACTCTAGATCCATCTCCCTTACCGTGATATTTTGCAGACACGCCATTGTTGTTTTGGAAGATAAACACTCCTGCCGGTGCCGCCGAAATTCTCATGACCATCCGCCGAAGTTCCTGCGAGTTCTCTAATTGGCTCCCCTTGTGCTTTTGCGGGAAACTGCTGTGCGTTCCTAGACATTCCAGACCGACGTTGCAGAAGCATACCAGCAAAACTGGTTTGCGACCAGACGCAAGCGACATTTGATGTTTCAGGTCGCAGAAGTATAATCTGCCCTTAATGATCAACACACAAAGCTCATGTTTGCTGTCATTTGAAAACGACACTTTTCATTCGATAGCGTCGGGTTTTACAGCATGACGGACCTAGCCTGGGTGCCATTCCGAACTTAGTCCCGCCCACAAGCTTTGAGGTCGGGAAGTTCGGTCTGGCATTGCACAATAGTAGCGCGAGTATGCTCGCACAATATCAGGCGGGTCAATCAAATTGTCAGGGCGGGCTTTATACGATGATGGACAGATGATCAACAGTAACGTAATCAACCACGTGACCAAAGCATGCTTTGGCGACAACAACAATGGCTGCCGCTGGAGTATTGGGGTGAGTAGATTCTGCTATTAGGTCTGTTCTAGAAGATATCGACAGCAAATTAATTTTAAAAGAGGAACAGAGAAACGCGATCAAGGCTCATCGTTTTATTCTAGGTGTGCAACTGCACGCTTTGATTTTTGTTGACAACAACTGTGCGTTGCTTAACATATGTCATGCACTGCATTGCTCTTATTGGTTGTAGGTCTATCCAATTGAGTGCAGAGGCATTTTTTTTCCTGGTTCGTTCAAAACGCCCCATAATCACAGCTCTATGGAGCAGTATCAGACTCATATTCTGACTAGAATTGAGTAGGACTACGTCAGGCTATGACGGACCAGCGTATCTACTGCTAGTACTAGTCTGAGCGATTCAGACTCATCTACTGATATTTCCGATGCCAGTTTTGAAGAGTGCGTGGTTCTGTACCATACGTGTATGAATAATTATTAGAGCTGCATCAATCCGATATCTGGATCGGATATTGAAATTGTTGGAATTGTTATTTCTATATTTTGAAGGCTTATTTATTAAAAAATAATTACATTTATATGTATGTTAATTTTTTACCTTTTGTTACACAATGTTTATTTTGAGGTAAAGTCTTCGCTCACATGGCAAGGTGTATGGTTTATTCATTCAACAGTTTAATCCGATCAGTATCGGGTGCCGGCCGATACGCTCAGCTCGGGTATCGGTATCTGATTGAATCGGAAAAAACTGGATCAGTGCATCTCCAATATTTATACTTCGTTTTGCTTTTGGTTTTCCTTTTGTGTCTTTGTAGATCCCGATTATAAAAGGTTCCTTGAGTATTACAATGGAGATGAAGAGAAGCTGACATCGACGCCGGAGACTCTGCTAGAGGAGATCGAGGCAAGATCGAAGGAACTGGAAGGTTTGTTTTAACGAGCCGAACTAAAAGCATCACCGTATGTTTGGACAGCAGCGACATCAAGAAAAGCTGATTTAAGATACGTTTGTCTTTTTAGCCAAAAAAACAACTCCTCTGCTGGACTTTCTGAAGAACAAACAGGTAAACATAATGCAGCGCTGTAAGAAAAAGGTTTACCCTTTAAAGAAAAATGCCTATATTTTTTTTTTTTTTGGGGGGGGGTGTAATTGAATACATTATAGGGGAAAAGCCAATTTGGAAAATCTGACATTAGGCCTTTGATAATAATTGATTAAAATTGATTGATTAAATTTTTCTGTTTTTGAAGATTTACTTTTTGAAAATTTTGATTTTCTTTTTTCTTGACATCTGTTCATCACTTTTTGTCCTTAGATGTGTTTTTATAGTTGATAAACTAGCTGACTTATAATTTATGCAATTAAGATGCATGAAAGTCACCCCCTAGACATGATGATTAAAAATAAATGCTTTTTTAAAGCAATTAACATAATTGTTTATTTTGTTTTTATAAGTATAAAACTTGAAGGAAAAAAAAGAAATTAATCTGATTTTAAAGGAATAAAATAGAGTTGATTTTTAAGCCCAGCTCTATATGAGACAAACTCTTTTTTTCTGCTGTTGTTTGCTTCAACATTTTTTTTCACTAAACGCTGTTCAGAGGCTGAGGGAGGAAAAGAAGGAGGAGAGAAAAAGGAGGGAGCTTGAGCGGAAGCGCATACGTGACGAAGAGCGCCGCAAGTGGAGGGAAGAGGAGCGGAGGAAACGAAAGGAGGCGGAGAAGATGAAAAGACTTGAGAAACCGCTGGAGAATAAAGACAAGGAGCAGAACAAAGAAGAACCCAAAATTAAGGTATTTGCTGCGGAGCAACAGTGACTCCTAGAAGCGGCCGTCATTTCAGTGTGTTGCTTCCTTTACTTTCAGCTCCTGAAGAAGCCGGACAGAAATGAGGATGGAGATTCTGAAAAGCCCAAGGAGAAGTTCAAGAAACCTGAGAAGCCACATAGAGAGGACCGACCCTCAGGAGGCCCTGATCACAGGAGGAGGCAGAACTTAGGCAGCAGGGAGGATCGAGAAAGAAAGTCAGTTAGTCCCCATTTCTTTTCATTTGCCAAGATCAACAGCAGTAACGGAACAGAATGTGGTGATTTTTACCCATAGAGGATATGAAGATGGCCGGAAGGAGTTCAGAGAGCGTGATTTGGAGCGAGAGAAGGAGAGGGAGCACCGGCAGAGAGAGAAGGAGCGCATCCGACGGCAGGACGAGGAGCGGCGGAGACGGAGGGAACAGCAGGACGGGGAGAATACGTGCAGAAAACGGGAGGAGGAGCTGAAAAAAGAAAAGGCCTTAGAGAGGAGGAGAAGTGAGAACTCTGCAGACTCCCCTCACTCCGAGAAGCTGGAGAAACCCGCCAGAGAGAACAAGAAGGAGGAGAGCGGTAAAAGGGAGCGAGTGCGTAATAAGGTAGGAGCATGAGGCTTTCGGGGCGCTGGGATTTTTCTAAACCGCCTATTAAAGTGCTGCTTGTCTGTTTCCGTCAGGACCGGCCCGCCATTCAACTGTACCAGCCGGGGGCCAGGAGCCGCAACCGCACGACAGGAGGAGCAGAATCCAGCTCTGCCGACCGGAAACCAGAGCCCGATAACAAGAAAGCAGGAGACAGAGGAGATGACTGAGGGTTTTTTTTTATTTTGTGTGACAACAGAGGCTCGTGAGGCTCAAGAGTCTCAAGCAGCACTGATGGAGCATGGCGTCACCCGCCTATCCCAGTCGCCGCGGAAGAGGGTCTGTTATGCCTCTCAGTGCCCGACTGACACCCTGTTTAGTACAGAATTAACTGTAACCGTTTGGAAGGGTGCAGCTGTAGGGCTCAGTAGGTGATGCCAAAGTTTTCCTGGTGGCCTTATGTCATTAATGTCGCTCTGGTGGGAAAATGTTTCACTGTTAACATCAGATCAAAATCTGTGTCTCCAAAATAACTCCAGGATGCTTCCAGCAAACTCCCATATAGCTCTATGCTCTATCAGTTTCACATTCTCACACTTCATTCCCCTGGTTTTCAAAGGTCTGGGTACAATGCCTGGATTTTCAAAAATAAAAAATGAGTCCATAATGAATCCTTAAATGTGACAATTCATGTATCTCTCAGCTGCAGTCATACTAATCTGGTCAGTCAAAAATGTAATAAAGTTTGAGTTACCTGGTTACACAAGTGTGCACACTGAAAATGTTGTTTATGTTTATGCATTTAGCATTCGCTTTTATCCAAAGCGACTCACAAAGATACAGTAATCATCAATATGAAAGGGAAATCCTTAATCAGATTTATTTTCTGTCTTTTAAAAAAAAATAATATTCAGTCTGCTTTCTACATAGTGGTAATATTTGTAAACTCTGCCTCAAGAGTTCTCCTAATCTATTAGATTGTTTCCGCTATTCTCAGGTCAGCTCAAAGATTGTCTGTCAGATGTAATTCTGACCTCTCCATAAAATATACTAAAACTGAAATTTGCTGATGAGTGTGCTTCTGTTTTCTCCTTGTAATCCTGCTAAATAAATGGAAATGGAAATGGAGAGATTATAAAAAAAAATGAAACTTTTACCTGAAAATAAAAGAATCCCAGATTCTGATGCTGCCACCCCCATGCCTCATTTTTGGTGCAGTTTTATTTTTGTCTAAGAAAAAAAAGAACAAGAAAAAGAACTTTCAAACGAGGATGGTAAAGTGATGCATGCTGCTCAAAAGGTTTTGGGAGTTTTAAGGCAGACCTGTGGGATTTAGATAAATCCTCCTGCTTTGCAGTGCTCATCCTTAGTCCTTAAATATGGAGAATGTAGGAGAGTTTATTTTGAAAAACTCAATCTGCATTTGTAAGGAGATCCTGCAGCTTCATCAGTTTTGCTGTTGGCTTTTTGACAAATTCCCTAACTGGTTTTCTTTTCTTTTCTTCTTTTATAATTGTCATAAAATTTTATAGTTTTTCTGCTGTTCTACATTTTTGGGATTGCTTATTTTTTCCGGTTTATCAGATCACTATTATACATGTGGAAATTGAAGAAGAAACTGAATTATAAGGTGTTTCAAGAAGGTATTAGTTAAAGGTTAAAGGCAAGTTTTACTCCTAAAGGTTTGTGTTTCAGAGAAATTGAACAAAGACACACTATGTGTCCTATAGTTATTGGAAAACATTTTAAAATGATTTATCACAAACTCTTTAATTTTTTACCTTAAAAACACGGCATTGTATCATGGCATGGGTGTGTGGACTTTCTGAATTTGCTGTTCTTCACAGTTTGTCTTTCTAATTTCATGAGCTAAACAATATAACTTTTTTTTTCTTTGCTTGCTCCTTAATTTTCATTTTATGCAATTAATGGCTGAGAAAGATATTTTAAACCACACTGCCATGTGAGATCTGTGCTTGCTTTGCATTGTTCAGTGGGATCCACATGTGGCCTTAAATTGGAGAATCACTTTTAACATGATTTATCTGTAAAACGAGTGCAGTCTTAGGACAAATCATTGCTGGTAGTACTAATAAAATGACTTTTTTTGGGAAATAAAAATATTTGCTGAAGTCTGTTTTTACTTTGAACTGTTGCCTGCCTCAAATTTTATTTTTAAGTTCTTGAAATAGAATTGCACATATGACATTTTAAAAGCATCAAGTGCTTTAATATAAAAATAAGTTTAGACAAATACTGTTTGTATACTTTGAAAAAAAAAAAGCTAAAAGAGAATTAGAAAACGTTAGAGAAAAGTAAGTGCCTAGTAGTTCGTTTTATATGGTGATTGGAAGAATTACCATTACACGTGTTTAATAGATCAATATATCATTTTATAGTTTTAACGTAGAAAATTTTGTGTAAAACCAAGGAAAGCATTCTTCCTACATTTCCTCCGGTGACCACTTGATGTCGCTATCCCCTGGCAGCCTACTCCATAAACCTGGCTACGTCACTTCCTTCTTTCTCTTCGACCACCGCCATAGTGGTGAAAGGATTGTGGAGAAAATGGTAAATATAAAATCGTTAAACATCCATCTCAGCAGGGCTCGTAATCCCAAACTGACACTCGAAATGAATAATAAGTTTTATATTGTTAGATAAAGTGTTAGTATTGTTTTGTAAAAATTTGTAGATAAGGTATTTAAGTTCACAATAAAACGGTCAAGGCATGCTAGCTCAGAACTTCCTTGCTAACATAAGGCATATTCAACCTAAGACGCTGAGTTACAAATTAAAACAAAGTGTCACTGACTTGATTATTGGGTATTTTTTTCTGTCCCAGTCGTCCCACAAGACTTTCAGGATCAAGCGCTTTCTGGCCAAGAAGCAAAAACAGAACCGGCCGATTCCCCAGTGGATCAGAATGAAAACCGGCAACAAAATCAGGTGAGTTTTCACATCTTGTTTCTCATGCTTTAGGTTCGCGGGTTGTGGAGGTTGTTACCTATACTGGCGCTATTATTTTGTTTAGCTAAACAAGATAATCAGGGAAACGTGCAGCACGGCTTCAAGCCGAAAGCATAGATCTACATATAATAGTCTGTGAATGCACATATATGTCCGCGATACATGGTAAACATGGGTTTAAATATATTCATATGTATTTAGTTGAGTTCAAATTACACCTTTATTATAAACTAAATGTATTGACTATTAGTTGTGCAAAATAACTCTCTCCGCAGGTTGGTTAACTCAAAACATTGTAAGATCGTATATTTTAAATCCTGCACAGCTCATTGATGCAGGATTGAATGTACTCCAATCCTAATGCTAATACCTAAAGCTGAGATGACTGATCAAGTAATAAAAATCTGGAAATTTGGTAGATGATATAATTCCCCCTGTTCACTAATTTCTCTTGTCCTAAATATGGATATGCTTCATACAGAGGTTTATAGCTTTTAAAGTCACAATGTTATGTTTGATGGGCAGTAATCCACAGGGAATTGGGCTACATGTTAGGATTACAAACCGTGTTTAATGTGGACGGATTTACAGCGTTATATTAAAAGGCTTATTTTTAAGTTTCGCAGTGCCGGTTTGTATAAATGAGTCTTGGATTAGATATTCTACGTGTTCAGATGTATTAATATCCATCTAGATGTTGTAGCACCTGATTTTATTATTTTTCTAAATAGTGAGATTTTCTTTACTTAAATGAAATGATTTTAATACATTACCATTAAGCATTCTGTATCAGGAACAGCTGTTCATTCTTTTTAACTCAATTATGAATATATTTTTTCCCCGTATCTGACTTTGCCGTGGCAGTCAGAACAACTTGATTCCAATCTTTCCACCTTAAAAAAAATCTTTGTGGTTCTTAATCCGATATCTATCTTATAGTTTTAGTGTCTGCAGTCTGAACAATTGTTACCATAACCATCTAGGCTACATAGTTCTATCTGCACAGCAGTCTTGGCCCCATAAATTACATTAACAGTCCTTCCTTTTTCTTGCCTTTCTTCATCTTGTGATGTGATCATAATGTTTGCTCCCATTCAACAACTTAACACTGATGTACATATATTACCTCTGTAAACAGCATGCTGTATGGCGTCTACAGTCCTGCATATGCAGGTCAGGTTAGGGCTGTGGAAAACAGGCTGGAGTCTGATTGAGGCTGTATTTAAGTAGTAGTCTGAACTAAAATAGAAATAAAGTATCAAAACCTCCTGTGTGAATGTAGCCATTGATCCACTTCGATCTCTTTCAAAGCCTGTTTCATTAAGGAATGTCTGATAAAACTGAAGCTGGAGTCTAGACATGCCTGGTCTGCGTTAAAGGCGGTGAGACTAGGGCTCTGTGTTGTTTCGTTGTTGTTTTGTTTTTTTTGTGTCCATTCTTCGTTTTTTGATTGTCAAGATTTAGAATCTGTTTTTGGTCCGGTCTGATCTGTTGTTGGTTGGATGGTATTAAAACATTTTTTAGCTGTTACCTGAATTACATGACTATTTATAAAACACATTGACACCAGTATGTTAACTTTAAACAGCAAATGAAGTAATGGTCGTTAAAAGATGGTTGAAAATACTTTTTAGAGTTTTTGAATGATTATTTTTTTTTTTTGGTAATAGCTTGATTTTTAGGAATTGAAATCAGAATTAGAAATTAAAGTTTTAACAGTCTTAGTTAAAAAGTGTTTCCCTCTAAGCATGTATACCTTATAAAATTCGGTTCTCCATTCTTCTGTTGAATTCCTGGGGCGTTTGCATTATCATAATGCTTAGTAATGCGTGGCTAATGGATAATTAAAAAAGTAACTGTATAATTTAAAGCAGGTCTGCAATTGCAGCTCTCCTTGTCTGTAGAGTGCTGTCATTAACCCTGCTGAGAGCATTTTCTGCTGCCGCACTTCACTCCTCCTCATTGGAATGATGCTGAGGAAGCTATGTAGCTGCAGGACAGCTACTACTGTTTCTGTGCCTGAATGATGCATCTCCACACTGATCTAGGAACAATTCACAACATGTTATATTTCATGAATATATATACATTTCAAATTATGTTCATAACATGGTGACACAGGGAACTCAAGCTGTGTCAAGAGAATTTACATAATTTGAAATTAACTTTCTGCTCAGTCTGTTTTTTTTTTTTTTTATGCTCCTGATTTGTAGATATACATTTGGTTGTTTTATAAGAAGTTCAAGACCTACAACTGTTTAGCTGACATTGTTTTGAGATGGTTTTAACATTTTAAATCTTTGAATTTCAGGTACAACTCCAAGAGGAGACACTGGAGGAGGACCAAGCTCGGCTTGTAAACATGATGGCCTGTGGATCCAAGCCCCCCCACATCCTGACATCTGCCAGTTCCTCCAGCTGCTTGGCCTATTGGCTTTAAAGGGAGCTGCAACATCTGGAGCAGCATTTGTTTTGTACAGATACCTGGCTATGCTCATGTTTCACAATAAAAGATCATTGATCACATTTGAAACACAGATGTCTGATGGTTCTTTATGATCTATGAACTATTTCTATAGTTCACAGGGATATATTTTAGTGCAGGAGTCTTTTATTCCAGTCATGGAGGATGCAGTGTCCTGCAGCTTGGAGTCTGTGCTTCCACACACCTGAATAAATGACTATAAATTGTAAAATGTATAGCCTCAAGTTTTTTCCGTATATTTTTGCAGTTTTTGTTATACCATCCAGAGGGGTGAGAGTTAACCGTTCTCCCAATGTAGTAACAACACATTTAAAATGCATGGTGTGGATGGACATAAAAAAAAATTTGCTACTGTTGATCCTAATAACATTTCTGATAGTACATATGTGACAATTTTTAAGGGAGTGTCTCCTATTTTCCTTCAGGATTCTTATTAGTTTTGGAAACAGACTTTTCTAAGAGGTTTATATAAAGTTCATTGTCAAACCCTTTTTTGTTGGTAAAAGACAAATCTTACCAACTAACATGTCATGTCTGGTAAATGATTGCCAAGTGTAGCACTATAGAGCTAATAAGCCATTTTACAAGCAAAAGCAAATGTACATTTTTGTCATTTAATTAAATCTTGCTTTAGAAAATATAAAAGCCTCTAAAAACATTGGGAAAGTTTATTTTCAATATTTAAATGGTTCTTAAATTCTCCCCACTTCACAGAGGTGTGGACAAGACTTTTTGGTTTCATGTCTTACTTCAAATAACTTGGTTTATGGCTACCTAAATGGGTTAGGACAATAGATCCATAGAGCGGGGATACTTTCTTAATGCAAACCCAGTCAGATAAGCTGGTGTTGAGAGATTTCTGAACTGAAGCTGTCCTGTTAAGGTTTTCAATTTATTACATCCCTGTCAGACTGTTGTTGAACAAAACTGCTTCAATTCACATAAAAAAAAAAAAAACCTGTTAGTGCTCAGTGTAGCAGAGGGATAAGAAATCAATTAGATTCAGTTGGATATTTACTGTCTCCACTTTTTATTAAACCAAGTGATCTCACTCTTCCACTTACAAAGGCATGACCACAAAATGTCATTTTGTGCAATCCGGGGCAGTCACAGTTTTTCCGTTTGAGAAAGTGCAGAGAATGTGAAATTATTCCAAAATGCTATTCCATATAAATTCCTTTACATGGTTAAAACAAACACAACAGAACTTTGTAGAAACTTGAAGGGCCGTTAACAGTCTGCAAGCTGAGATAGAAATAGGATGAATGAATGCTTTGAGTGGCATTTCTCATTAGGAACCAGTAATTATAAAGGTTTTATTTTTGTTCCAAATAACTAAAATTTGGTTTGAAATCCTTTCAAGTTAACGCTTATTTAGAAATTATTTTATTCATGTTCCCAAGAGTCATATTCTGTACAGTCTCAGCATAGTTTCTTTCAGTATATTCAGGAGGTGTTTCCAAGCATAAATTGCTTTTTATTTTTAACAAATCAAATGAGCATGGACAACAGTATCTGCATACATCTTTGTTTCATTTATTTTGAAAAGTGGTTTTAAAGGATAAAAGACAAATTTATATAACAATTCCATTTTCATGTCCTGTATTCAACAAAACTAAATGTTTCAATGAATCTTTGTTTATAAATCTAATCTAAAATTTCCAATTGAACCAACTGTGAGCACAAATGTAAATGTGGTTGACAACGACGTTGAAGATATTTGATCTGTTTGGTATATTTAACCTATTAGGCTGGAGGTGTTGCTTCAGCCTGCGACATATCTCCTTACAAGGTAGGAATGATCAGCATACCAGTAAAAATTTACTTTTTACAAATTTATCTCATACAAACTTATCGAGATTGCAGATGTTAATTTAATTTGTGGTGGCAAAGAATAATCTTTGAGGAATAGATTGGGAAAAAGTCAGTTATGTTTAAACAATAAGGTCCAGCAAACATATTTCTATTAAATGTTTTATGTTTTTCCTTTTGAAATCATTACTGGTTCTGGAGAGAAATTGTAATTATATATATATATATATTTATTATGGACTGTTCTAGACAGGGGTCGGCGGGAGCCAGCGCCCCATATTGAAAAGATACATGGCAAAAACTGAAGTATAATAAAGTACATTTTTCTTAAAATAAGAGCATTTTCCCTTGATGTGACCAGGTATGTTATACAATTTGCAAATGAGTTAAGATGATTTATATTCATAAATATAAAAAACAAAATATTAAAGTGCATAATTTTAATTTTATTTATAAGAGCAATAATATCCAATCCTTTGGCAGATCATAGTAACCTGCTCAAATTAATGGTAAAATGTTCACTTTTTTTTTTGTAAAATTATGTGCTGTTACAAGAGACCACAGATATTTTTCCAGAGGTGTACCCAGAAAATATTTATAAGGGTGGCCAGGGAATAACCAATGTACACTGAGGGGTGGCCAGAAGTGGATAGCACTTAAGGGTTAAGATGCACTGTTCCAACGGGAAAATTAATGAGCAAAAAATACATATTTTCTAAATGAAGACAAACTATCCTTTCCTGCAGCCTTTTCTAACAAATAGACGGATATATAATGGATACAATTCTTTCAGGTTGAAGTTCTGGGGCCAACATCTTTTCCATTGTTACTTTTAAAAAAAAATCAATAATCATTCTGAAAAAAAATATATATTTACAAGTAAAAGTATCTACATAAATTGATTTAATACATTTTTATCAAAATAGTTATTTATGATTTCACTGAAGACTGCTAGATGACTTGCAGAAACAACTTTCTCTTTACCCCCTATAACACAAAATCTAGTTCTGAAAAGAGCATAAATGTACTTTAATTGCAGTATAATTATGTGCATAATTAACCAGTGTCATTGGTGTCAAGTAAATGTAAATATATGAAAAAAAAAATGGTAGGGGTGGCCAATGATTGGCTTAGGGTGGCCATGGCCCCCCATCTAGCTCCACCCCTATTTTTCCCTTGAACTAATTTTAATATTTTCCCTCTACAGTCGCAGTGTGCTTTAGGATTCAGTCGTACCAAGATAGACATTCTGACTCATTTAATACAGGCCACTTTAAGTTTGTTTTTTTATTTTGGTTCTGGAGCTACCCTGTAAATTTAACTGACTATTCTCAGCTCTTGTTCCCAGCAAATGAAAAGGAAGGAATCAGCTTCCTTAAAGAGCCAAATCTCCAACCGCCTGCCTTTGCTTTGCCAAAGTCTGTCAGCTCCTCTGGTTCTCCAGCATCCAGCTCGTCACATGGTGCCAGGTTCCCAGCTCCAGAGCAGTTGTTATTCCCATTCCTGTTCCAGTGCTCCCCGCAGCTGTGCTCATCGTCCCAGGTTCCCAGCAGCTCCTTCATCTCCAGTGGGGCGTCCTCCTTCAGGTACTGCCACGGTCTCTTACCGCTGTAGTCCATGGCGTCCACGTCGGCTCCGAAAGCTCCCACCAGCAGCTTGATGACGGCGAAGCGGCCGTGCATGCTGGCGACGTGCAGCGGGGTCAGGCCGCCGCTGCCCCGCATGTTGACGCTGACAGGCACCGCAGCTCGCTCCGCGAAGCGCAGCAGCTTCAGCATCACCTCGTCCTGTCCTCTCTTTGCCAGCCAGTGCAGCACCGAGTATCCGCTGATGAAGTCCTTCCTGCTCAGCAGGTGAGGGTCCTCGGAGAGAAAGTCCAGGATGGTTTCATAGTTCCCCTCCACCGCTAAGAGCATCCACGCGTGCTCCATGGGGTATAGAGCCCACTCTGTGTCCTCCGTGGACAGGGTTTCCACGCTGTTAAATGAGCTGCTGAGGAGCAACTCTTTCAGGTACTTTTTCCGCAGAGCCGGTGGCAGTGAGCCCCTCTCCGGAGCGTCTCTGTCGGCATGAAGCGCAGCTGGAGCGGAGCCATCGCTGACCTCTGGCTGCCTCTGCAGCCTCCTACGCTGGGACGCTCCGGGCATGACCAGCATGCCGTACCGGGACAGCCGCTCCACAATGGACCTGTGTTTGGCTGTCCGGCTGCCGGGGGTGGCAGCTGGTTCCGATCCACTGCCCTCCATGCTGCCGCCGCCTGGTTGCACTTTCCAAAGCTACTTCCCTTTAGACTACACCCTTAAGATGTCTCAGATTATCAACTCCAACTATTTACTGAACTCATTTCCTGTGTACAGAGAAAAATGCATATTATTCCCTCGTTTGGAACAAGAAAAAAAAAAAAAAACCTTACAAGTACAGTGAAATTTTTAGATTATTGTAATCATTAAACCTCCCCTTTATAGTTGTCTATATAAGGTTAACTCACCTGTCCTGCCAAGATAAAAGACGCACCTTCTCCGTTTGATCAGGTTACATTTACACACAGATAAACAGCCAAACATAACACTTTATTCTGAGTTCAGAAACCAGTGATCTTACTTTCCTTTGTAAAGAGGAACTGAGACAAAGTTCACTCTGATCTATTGCCAAAAGCCAATAGCAAGAATCCCTCACATGTGACCACTGGTGGACTTTAAAGCAGGAAGTGACAGTGTATTCCGACATTCTCACAACATAAAGAGTTACAGACTGGTGATAAAGAGGTAAAGCAACTTTATTTAAACAAGAAAATTTACAAATGAAACAAATTAAAAGTCTGATTCTGAAGGAAGCTCAATCAGCTCATCAAGGGTTAGAAGAAACGCAGCCAGCTCCCCGCAGTTATCTGAAAATGAGGACAGTCGAGTTAATGATATTCTTCACACTTGTATGTCAGACTTCAAGACCTATCCTTTCAACTCAACCATTTCATTAAAGGATTAGAATTTAAAGCTTTTTTGTTTTTAAGGAGTCCCAAGTCATGCATTAAGCACAACAGTTGTTTCCATGAATTCATAAGTCTTCACATTTACATAAATGGTTAACCCTTAAATCCTTAGATATTCAAACAAAATTAAAGCCATAGCCACAACTTTCTTAAATTATCAATTCCATAATATGTACAGAATATCTAGAAGGTGCAGGGTAAAAAAGTTTTACAAAAAGTACACACACACACACAATATAACTTGGACAAAGGATTCTGCAACAGCAGCAAGTAGAATAAAGTCATGCAGAGCTTAGGTGTGAAAGATTGTAGTAACTAGGACTGGGCAATTGAATTTGCAATATAACTCTCAATTTTCAAATATATTTGAAACCAGAAGCATAACAGAGAGACCTGGACTTGTCCAAGAGATCAATATCAGACAAGAAGCAGCCGTTTTGGAGTCTTATAATAGAGTGGTGGTCCTTAGTCCCAGTTTTGACAAACATGTGCATTTACATTATGCAATGACGCCTCAAATAATAAAACTGTTCAGCTTTCGCAAAGCAGAGTTCCTCAACTACCTTGGTTGTGTTTTTACTGTTGGCTGCATGAAAAGGAAACTAGGAGCTTCAATTTGGAATTAGCCATCGTCTTTGGCAGGCTGCACTTTAGCTGCAGCAGGAAGTACATCCTCTTTTGTGCTTACTTGGTCAGCCCCAACTTGGAAGACAAGCAATGGTCGCCCCAACCTCCACCGTTTTCAGAGCTCCAGGTCACCAGATGATCAATACCCCACCCGTTGGCAGACAGATCTCTGCCAGAGATCAGCACAATGTGGCTTGTCTGCAAACTTTAGGAGATTGGCGGACTGGTTGCTGAAGGTTCAGCCATTTGTGTATGATGAGAGGACAAACAGCCTCTAGGGCAGCGGTGGGCAATTCCAGTTCCTGAGGGCCGCTATCCTGCAACTTTTAGATGTGTCTTTGTTTCAGCACACCTGAATCAAATAATTAGATGATTGAGAGGACTCTGGAGGAAGTGACTGCATACTAAGGAGGTAACCGAGCCATTTAATTCAGGTGTGCTGGAGCAAGGATGGATCTAAAAGTTGCAGGATACCGGCCCCCAGGAACTGGAATTGCCCACCCCTGCTCTAGGGGAACTGATGCAGTTGGTCCTGAAGTCAGAGACCTGTTTTCCCAAATTCACATGCTGCTGCCTGTGCTCCACCTACAGGTGGATTCAGGCACCCTTCTCTGCAGCAGAGCAGGGATGATGAAAGCAGAGTTTAAGTCAACAAACAGGAGTCTGGTGAGCCCAGAAGGTTGTTGCACAAAACCCCAGCAATCAGATTAAACTGGGATTTCAGAAATCCTGGCTTAATTAGGCCTCACCTTTACAAAGACAACACAAGTTACCATGGTGATTTACTTTACATAGCTAGTCTGCTCCAGACCAACATAACTTTGTAAATCCTAGTGCCTCATCTAGTCGGTCAGCCTCATGCTGTTCAGAAACCAAGGAGTTTTTTGCAGAGCTTTAATTCTGTATGTAGGAATGAGGTGCACTGTCCATAAGAGTGACCCCGAGCAGCAGGGGAATGGTGTAATGGGCACAATGACCTGGAGTCTTCTTGCTGGTTGGATAGGTTGTAAGACACTTTTATGAGTTCTTGGCTGAGGTTTGTTAAAGTCAAAAAAGGACAACAGGGGAGTCAGTGTTTAAAGTTAAAGGAATCTTAATATGGTTTTGAGTTAAGTTATTCCAGATCATGAAAGAGTTTAAATGGGTGCATCAGGTGCTGTTAAGGTAAAAAAACAGCTACATCCACACAAAGCTTTTTGTCACAGTTGACTATGATCAGCAGAAAGCTAGCTGGCTGCTGTAAAGTCTGGCATTTGTTAGACAGCCAAGTCTCTGTGGCATAGGTCAGAATACAATTCTCTGATCATCTCAACCAGTAGCTCAAGTTTGTTGAACATAAATTGGATTGAAATTTATAGTGCGTGTGAAATCCCAAGAAGAGATGTAGAAGTGACCTCATTTTATTCCCCTCTCCTGCAGAGGTTCACAGGATAGGAAGCAGCAAGTGAACCCCAATTGTCTAATAATTCCACTGGCAACATGAGAAAAACTGGGAAATAAATCCACTTGTGACATTCCAAATTTTCACAAGATCCATGAATCACAAAAACAAGCACACCTAGAACCATTTTGATATTCTGGTGCATGAGATAGTATTCTATTAAATCATTTTCCATTTTATCAAATCAGTTTGTGATCATTTTGAATATCAATAAATCAGATCAATTTTTTCTTTACAATTTATGAACATGAGCAGTAATATTAAGTTGCTACCTGAAGGCTCTGGCATCTTCACAGGCAAGGGGTTTGAGAGTTCTTCCAGCTTTTCCTCATCCAGAGCTGGAAGGTTGTGGGTAAAAGATGCCAATCCAGGTAGAGCCAGGCAACTAAGAGGAACCAAATCTTCTGGTACACTGTACTTCTCAAACTCTGAAATACACAAGGTTAGGATTTAAACTAGACTGGAACTGTTATTTCTATTCCATCTGTTGGCTGAAGGAAAAGTCTATGGTAGTCATTTCTACAGGGACCATGCAAAGTGTTTAGTTTAGAGTTTAAACAAAGGTAGATTGTATCTGAAGTTACCAGAATAAGCACAACCCAAGGGAGCAAAAAATATGAAAAATATAATGTAAGCCTAAGCTAAGCTGTGTTTTTAATTCAATGATCGTCACATGATTTACTGTGTTTTAAGGTGGACATCTGCCTGCAGGATCACTTTACACTTTGTTAAAGAAGCATATGAACAAGCACTATTATAGACAAAAATAAAAGTATCATTGCAACATTTTAAAAATGATCTCTGAAGTTGAGATTAAATATGCAGACTATTGTGGTTTTAAAGACGCTTGGGAGACTAGCTCCTCAAGAATTTGTTAAAAACCAAAGTAGATTGACCAAGTCTGAGAGGCGACTAGATCTCATCAGAAGCACCTTCAGACAGGCAGTATTCTATTAAGCCTTCAAAACACCTGCTGTTATAAGTGATTATCCTTTAAAAACGTCAGTTAATAAACAGCCACAGCAGCTCCTGCAATCTCATATGAATTTTGGATTCATTTTATGACTAGTTACATGAACCCACACTGTGTTTCGCCAACCTTGAGACTTTAGATTGACTTATTTCTATGACCCAACCCAGGCCCTTGCTGATTACCCATGTACGCCTGGTGTTAAATATATTTTTTGACTTTAGTATGGCCATTTGTAATTGTACAATAACATTCAGCTGTTTGTGGCTTTGCCACCTGAAGGACTAGCGATGGGAATTGGCACCAGCTGAAATCTTCCATATTTACCTTGTGTTCATCAATATGCATTGTCGCTTAAAAAACCAAAGGAAAAACACAGAAATGCAAATGCAGAGTTTTCTTTAAAGCTGAGGCACCAGTTTACCTAATGGGTCATAAGGGAAGAACTGCTCAACTTCTGGATAGTCCTCTCCTTTGGAGTGAGAAGGCAACTTCACCTTAGTTTCCTGTTTGGAAAAAAATGCATGCTTGTAAATCTCGATACAGGGAAAAGCAAACACAAAAAAATACAATAAAAAAATAATAAGGCAGATCCCAACCTGTGGCTTCAACAGTTTTTTCTCCTGTGCATTGACTGCAGGGGTTGAAATCTTGTTCACAGTTCCAAAAGCCCTACGACCAGATGGCAGTGGCGTCGTAATACCTTTAGCAGTCATAGGAGACTTGAGAAGTTTCTCTGGTGGAAAACGGCATGAATAAGAAAGTCGTACTGTTAGCAATCCAAAAGTTGTGAGAAACAAAAACTTTATACCTGGAGCAGACTTGAGTCGTTCCCGCATAAGCTGTGAAGGTGCATGAAGACGGACATTTTCTTGCTCGGCAAAGATTATGTTCTCCATTGTAGCTGAGGAGTAAAAACAAAATCAAAGTGGTTCCCGCTGTAAAGTTTAGAGGCCAACAGCATGGAAAGAGTCAGGCAGCCAGACTAATGCATTTCTCACATGAGAATAGTTTCATTTATAGCCTTTACCATTAAAGTCATGGAAAAAAGATGGAAATTTGCAGACCACAACAAAGTTCACATCAATAAGATGTCCCCCATAAATCCTCTATTATAATGCCGATCGATTCATCTATCAAGTGTCTTTGATTAATCAAAAAAAAAAAGTTACCTCAAAGGTTTGATATTACAGAATTTTAAACAGGTGATAATAAAACTATGCCACTGGAGGAGTTCTGGGTAAAAAAGTTTTAAAAGCCACATGTTGAGTTAAGTTAAAACCTAAGTCTATCAATATAATTCATTACACAAACAAGATTTCCCAAGCAATATTATAATCTTTCATACTATGGTATATCAAACTAAAACAAAACCACCTTTAAGTTAAATAAAAAACACAAAGTATTGCTGGCCAGCTGAAATCTCGTGTGATATAAACGCTATTATTCTTTGAGGCTATTCATGCATTTCAGTAGAACTAGTTGTTTCCTTGTGGCTTTCAGCTCATTTACAAGCTCTAAACGTCCACCAGCTGACTAGCAGTTAGAAGCAGTAGACAGTTCGCATGTAACTTTTAAACGAAATTAACATCTAGCAGACTTAAACAATATAAAGAGGTTAATAAAAACAATGAAACTGTATGATAAAGTATAAACCTTTACGCCTCTGTGCTCGAAAACCCGCGTCTGCTTACGGTTTGCCTTCTGCTGTTGATTGTTGTGATACAAGAACGTGTGTCGCTTCCCACAACCGCGGCTTGAATTTAAATTCGTTGTCTTATTCCTATTGGTCGCTCTTGGACATGTGACTAAAAGGCGTTCCTATAAATACTTAGCTTACCCGGCTAAAATTGAATTATCAGTGATTTGATATTCGTTATTTATGCCTACTCGACCAGCCATGCAGACTTTAATCAGGTATATGTCAGCAGCTATGGACGCTTCATGTTATACGACGTTGCAGCAATAAAAATATGAGTAAATTGACCCGAATTTTAGCTATTTGTTGTTGCTAATTTCCGTTTGAAACGTTTCACTGCCCATTTCTCACCAGCCGTAACCACCTTGTCCTGGGGGGCGCGGAGGATGACATTCGATGGCTTTTCTTCCTCATTTTCATATAATTCAACAGGAAAACTTTTATATTAAAACATAAAACAGCACACATTAAATTTTAATAAAAAATTGTTAAATTATTCACATTTCTTTCTATTTTTACCCTGTGTGTAAATGGTTCCGATAAATGGTACGTTCCAAACAGGCCAGCTATGAGTATAACCTAAACGGCGCAGCCTCTTTGGCTAAATCCAGAGTGGTGGAGGGTTTGTTCTCCAGCTAACAGTTCCCACCATGGCGTCTACTGAAATAGCAAGGCAAGCTGTAAGTCCCCCGCTTTACGTTGAGGTTTTCTCCGTTTGCAAAAATAAAAAAATAACTGATTGAAAAAATGCGTATTATTTGATTAGGGGGGATACCAGGGAAATTGTTCTTTTGCGCTAACATCCGTTTTCGTGCTTTATTCGACTATAATAGCTAGGTAACCGTTGCTCGGTAATTTTACATTTTAGCTAACCTAAAACGTATAGCATAAGCGATTTACTGTAAAAAAAATAAAAATAGGTGCATCTACTATTAAAGCGTTCTTATTTTATTAGTTTTACTCGTTTACGTTTGAAGTGCGGCTATATATAGCATAATTATTTCCAAACAAAATACAGACGTATACTGTACGGGTAATAATGTCTAAAATACAACGTAGTAAGGCTGTTTGTCGTTAAAAACCTACCTTGAATCAAACGGTAGGCCATTCATTCTCAACGCCCCCGTTTGAGCAGCGCTCATTTCCGTTATGTTGTCTCGAGTCCCGTTAACTTTCATACGGGCGTCGTCCCTTTTTATTTGCATTTAAAGCTACATTTATCGTAGTAAAACTTGCATTTCTAAAACATCCACTTTGCTTTTTTTTTTTTTTTCGTGGAAAATGAAGCCACTTAACCCCAGAGGGGTGCTTAGAATAGCAGAGGCTGTTCTGTTTGATTTCCCCTTTGTGGCCCAATGAATGAAACCGGCTGTGTGCTACTTGGCTATGAGTGTCATGAAAAGCGACGAATTCAGGAATGCTGTGTAATATAGAGGCTGTTTGTCCTGTTACATTACCATCAGTTCCATAAACAGTCATCCAGCTGTTAAAACCCAACTCCAGACATCCAAACAATCCACCAATCCACAACTGTTTAGTACCATCAGCTCACACAGTTATTTTAGATTGACTCCCAGAATATATTTTCTGTCAAAGCCTTTGCCAAATTGGACAACAGCACCATGTAATGTTATCCCACATAATGGCCGGTTTGTCTGAGGTTTAGCCGGTGAAGAGATTTAGCTGTTCTGGCATCTTCTACAAATTCTTCTCTTCCCTACAGCTCGCAATATAAACATAGCCAGCAGAAAAAATAAATCACAGCAGTAAAAAATAGAAAAACACTCACTGAAAGCCGCACATATTTAAAAAGTTTTTTGAAAATTATTCGTGCACTGTTGCACAGTCATGTTATAACAGCAATGTTGAATGTCCTTATTTGGTGTGTCGGGGTTCATACAATAGAACAGACAGTAGCGAAACAGAATAATAAAGCTGAAGTAAAATTATACAACACGCTACAACATAAATTGAAAAGGTTTGTCAGGCCTTTTAAAACCAAATTTTCATGCAATTACAGCTGCAATTCTTTTGGAGCACATCTTCGTCTTTGCAAAATACCTCAAGCTAAGTTTGATGCATAGGAGAGGATATTTCAGTAGAATTTTACAAGTCTTTCCACAGATCTTTACTGGAATTTGTTCATGTCATTTTTTTTATACAGGAGTATTTTGATGCACGGCCAGTGGTCTAAATCTCCAGCTCTAAAGAGTTGTGTCCTTTAACGTTTATATTTTTCCATACTCCAACACATGAACCATCCGGCTAAAACTCATCCTCTTACAATCAAGTTATGTTCATGGTTTAATTAATAGATTAAAAAATATGTTGAAGACCAACCTTAATGCTGCAGCAAACGATATAAAATTGATAACCTTGAATCAGGGTTGAAACAATTAATCGGATTAATCCTTAATTTAAATTCTAGTCAACTGATTTGGTAATCAATTAATTGTTATTTGGAGTATAGAGACTGTAAAGCTTGCCTTTAATGGACAGTGCAGCCAACTTATAACAGTGATTATACCAAAATTGTACAAAAATGTATATACATTTTGGATTTAGGATAAAAACCCTTTTTGTCCGTCAATACGCTCTAGCCAGAGCTCTTTAAGTGGAAAAGTTTTAGTTTCACTTGGTTTAAATTCAGTAAAAGAAAATCTTAAAGGAACATTTTGCTATCCAATTTCTAATCGAAAAAATAATTTACACATCAATTGATTAGTAAAATGATTGTTAGTTGCAGCTCTACCCTGAAATAACAGATATCGTTATATTTGGGTTTTTGTTCCTGCTAGAAATTAAACTTAAGGCCCAGACTTTAGTCTGTTGCAGACATCATCAGTAGCTCAATACTACCAGTAAATCTGAGCTGCAACCCTCTGCCGGCAGGAGAAAAACACCTCCATAGCATGATGCCACCTTTACCATGGTTTCATAGTAGGGGTGATGATGTATGGTGATGATTTTGTGAACAGTATCTGGTTGCAGTGGATTTATTTGCAGCGGGGCATGGGAGTAAATTGGGAACATTCTTTCAAAGGCTTTCATGCTGCAACCACGTTAGGATCTTTTAAGCCCTTCTTAGAATAGCTGTAATAACAACACAAGTCTAACACTTGTAAGTTATTATATCAGGTTAAAGGATAATTCCTCAAAGCGGATGTTAACTTTGGGGTGTTGATGACTGATAACACCAAGAAAAAGTACTTCTTTGGCTATTGTACCTCTGGAAATAGTTTAAAGACCTTTTTTTTTTTTTTTTCTCTTTCACCTCCAAACCATGTTCTTTAAAATGGAACGGTACAAAAACTCCTGATAAGATACATAAAGGTTTTTGGCCGTGGTATGACCAGCTGTGAAAAAGTTTGGTGCTTTTAAATACCTTCAAAATGCAGTGTTTCATCCTCTGAGCTTTTCGTAGTCTGCTATTTATTTTACACCAACTGCCATAACTTTCCATATATGTACTTTGTGGTCTTGAACTGTCTCGGCTGACGGAAGTGAACTGCCTATCTGAAAACAGGAAGTGAATTAAACTGCACCTGAAATCAGTCCATTTCTCTAACAGTCAGTATACGATGGAGGAAGAGGTAATGTCATGAGGTGTATATATATAACTATAATTAATGTGGGAGTTAACAATTTTCACATTGCGAAAAATTCAGGATGCGTTCCCAGATGTGACAGCAAGATACCTGAACATTTTTTGTGCAATTGAGGGGCTTAAAACTGCAGACGGTAAAAGATCTGTTTTGTTTCAGGGCGAAGGAGTCCGCGCTGTACCTCTGGCAGGCCATGTTGGCTTTGACAGCATGCCTGACCAGCTGGTCAACAAGTCTGTCAACCGTGGTTTCTGCTTCAACATCCTCTGCGTTGGTGAGTGTTACAAACCTTTTCATGCTATTATATCAGCTAGCATTAACATCAGGTAGTTGTTTCCAATGAGACATAACAGTAGACTTACTGGACTTGCCGATAGCCTCTGTTTTAGTTACAACAGTAATTAAGATTCTCTCCATTTTGATAGAAAGCTCTACAGGTAGTATGCAGATAAGCTTCTATTGCATAGATCAGTATTAGATCATTCTTTTGGTTGCTTTTGCAAAGTTTGGTGCTGGTTATTCAATATATTTAACACTCAAAAGAACATAAAACGGACATTAGATGTCCAAGGATAAGTTTTGTTTCCTTCATTCACAGCTGTTTGGGAGCGTTTGGTATTTAACTTTTTATTTTGTTCTAGTTCTTTGCAAGAAAATATAATAACTAAAATATAATTGAAGCGGGCTCATATGCGCATGTATAACCCTTGATTAACAAGATAATTATCTTATCTTCCATCATGTTTTGTATCCAACTGCAGCCCAACAGAGAAAAAGTCCTCAGTGTGTTTGCTTCCTAAATATAACCTCACATTCTTTACACTTTCACTCTCTTCCTTTGCTGGTCACAATAAGTGAAATATTTAAAATTCTAAACATTAACTGTACTTTTTTATCAATTGGACTTACTTCCAAGCATAAAGCTTGTTGCATAGTTTATTTTTTAATTCTGCTGAGGATCTTGTAGAGGAAGCAGAAAAATACATTATTACTTATAGTAAATTCTACATTTAAAAGGGGTCAAACTAACACCCAAAATGTTTCTGGCAAATAACCTGTTCATTTTATTGTGTTTTATTCTAAAATCAAAGTTTGGCCTTTACATGGGACATGGGTATGTTCTGGATATGTTTCCACTTTATTACAGACTTAAATCTTTAAAACACACACAACCAGCTGGGATGATATTCTGACCTCATACCAAATTTAGTTTTTTCTCATCAGGTTGAAGTTCCTGCATTCAAATGTCTGGAGAGAAAACCCTTTTAAAAACTTAATTAAACCGAGCAAAAGTTACATCCTTTGAACTTTTTCACATTCTGTCATTTTAAAACGTCTAACCATGTGGTAAGGTGTTTTATGTGACCAATCAGTGCAAAGTGATGGCTAGAGAACATCTGATATCACTTTTAACAATTCAGAAACAATATCTTGTATGCACATATCCTGTCGTCTTAACATTTAATCAGATCACGTTTCACTGCAAAGTTTTTGGATTTTTGTCTCTTGGTGAATCTGGTTACTGAAATTCTGTCCATTTCTCTTCCATTATAGCTTGGGCTCAGCCTGAATGGATGTAGCATCAATTTCCCAAGTCTTGTTGAATAGTTGAAACCTTAAAATTTGGGTTTTAATAGGCTTTGAAACCACTCCATATAACTGATACTTACCCACGTCAAGGATTGTCCTGCTGGAAAAGGGACATTTTCCAACCTTTATTTGTACACCACCTCCATCCGTCTTTCCATTGTTGTGCCCCTGTGCTACGTTAACATATTGTCTACATTTTCTAACGCTCTAAATAAAGCAGATTTTATTTAGGGGTGTCAGAGTTAAGCCCTCACACACAAATGTCACAAAATCCTTACAAAATAAAATGCACTGTCTCCATTATTCACCATGTTTCTATAATTCTTTGGATGGATATGTTTGTTGAATTTTGACAGCAGAATTGTCATATTCAATACATGGTATTATAAGCTTAGACTGTAGGTGAGGTTGGGAGGGAAAAAATATATTTTTCTATTTGAGGGAGCTCCATATCTGAGTCATCTGATAGCCTCTAACAGAATGCAGTCAGAAGACATTATGTAGAAACAGTTTTTATGCCTGTAAGCATCTAAAACTTAGGGTCTTAAACCTGCATCCTGGATTTATTCCTCACTTCTGGTTTTGGTCTGAATTTCTTGAAATGGTTTAAAGCTGAATCAATGAGCCTGCATCTTTGATTTTTTTTTAATAGAAGAATTAGAATAATAGCAATTGGTGCTTTTCAGAATAAAGTGTGAGCATGACGTTTTAATCTCTTCATCTTATATTTGCTATTCAGGTGAGACGGGTCTGGGTAAGTCCACTCTAATGGACACCCTGTTCAACACCAAATTTGAGGGCGAGCCCACCCAGCACAACCAGCCTGGAGTGACGCTCAAATCCAACACCTACGAACTGCAGGAGAGCAACGTGCGCCTCAAACTGACTGTCGTCAATACTGTGGGCTTCGGGGATCAGATTAATAAGGAAGACAGGTAAAGTGGTCTGGACTCTTGTGTCTTTGAGCTTGTTGTAGAATACAGGGATCCTTTAAGCTACTCTTTGATCAGAGCTGTAGTGAACCTTGTTCATTCAAGAATGAACATACAAAGGTTGAGGGCACTATGAGCTTTCAGGTTTGAGCTCAGGCTGGGATTTCAGTAGTTTTTTATTTTAAGGTGCTATCCTGGCTTACATCAGATGGATATCACAACCCCAGGACAGCTGGGATACGCCTTGGAGCTTTTGTTACCAAATATTACCTGCAAACAGTCACTACTCACTTTGCACCCTGGGGCTGTGGAAAGTATCATGTGAACACATTATCTGCAACTGCATCCAGTCTTTGCTTTGTTCAAGTTGTTAGTTTCAAAAGAAATGACCTGCATCATATTAAAGCAGAGCAAACCTGTGACCTGCAGACTGCTGCAGGACAGGTAAGATATTATGACTTTACTCCTTGGAACATGAGATCAGAGTTCCCTCATTTCCATGTTTAAAATAGGCTAATATGAAGAAGGAATAAGAAATTAAATTTATTCTCATCAAGAATGTTACCCAAAAAGGTTGGTTAACTATGTCAATATAATTTATTTTGGGATTGAAGGTTATTTATAATAACAGTGTTAACTGTCAGTATTATGACTACTGGGTGCTTTCTGGGATAATCATTGTAGTTTTATTGTTTTCATGAATACAATTTTAAACTGCAATGTAAAGCTTGATCTAGTGGCTACTTTTGAAATGAGTAGTTATTTTTAATACTGCCACTAAAATAACACAGAATGTAGATTATCAGATTAGATGTAAAGGAACATTTTCTTTGTTTTTCAGCTTTTAAAAAAAATATTGTTATTATTTTATTCAGATTTAAAACTGTTGCATTACCAAACTCTTAATAAAGTAGCAGTTTCTGTAGCCAATTTCCGCCACTCCACAGTAGTAATTGAATCATTACCTGGTGGGACACAGAATCTAAAATATGCCATTCGCCCAAAGAATAACCTACTTGTAACAAATATAAACTATGAGCTTCTATAAACATAAAATATATGCATTGATTACATTAATGATACAATTCTTTATGTGTATATTTGGATGTAAATGTATTTTTGAAATGTCTGTTTATTTGGAAATGCTGAATTACTAAAAGTATCTTTTGTTAGATTAATCGTAAAAAAAATAATCAATAGATTTTCCAATTACCAAAAGAATTGATAGGTTCAGCTCATATAGACGGGTTGCTTGTAGTTTACCTTCTGGTGGAAGGGTTGGGACTTTTTGTTTTGTTTTTTCTTGTTACACTCTAAAAGTTTTAAAACAGCCTAATTGTTTTTCATTGATGCTTAGAGAATTGTGTAGAAGTTGACTTTTAGCCTTCTTGTTTTACTCAGGGGAAGTTTAGCCTTATTCTTCCTCCATCCAGCTGTAAAAATATTTTCTGCACCAGCAGTTGTTGTACCTCAGTTATCTGCCTGATGTCTAGTAACAAAACTTTAAAACTTTGCTTTAAAAAAATGTGCTCATGGATTAAAACAGAAGCTAATCTTCAGAGAATTTGTTTGTTCTTTAAAAATGTAATTTCATAGAGTAATTGTAAGAAGCTGATTTAAAATAAAAATGTTTTTTAAAAGATATTTATTTTTAACATAGAACTTTTTGTTTGTTGAACTGATCTAAGGCTTGTTTTGTTAAACAAAACATGTTTTCTGTTGATTCAGAACTGTCTTAACAAAAGGAGGAAACACTGAATGGCTTCTCCATCCTTCTCCCATACAGCTACAAATCCATTGTGGAATTTATCGACACCCAGTTTGAAGCTTACCTCCAGGAGGAGTTGAAAATCAAGCGCACCCTACACAGCTACCATGACACCCGCATCCACGCCTGCTTATATTTTATCGCCCCGACAGGACACTCGCTGAAATCCCTGGACTTGGTGACGATGAAAAAACTGGATAGCAAGGTGAGCTTTACTTAGTAATGAATCAGATGTAAAACCTTTTAGCATTTTAGAAACTTTGGAAGTAGTTGATCCAACAACTGGTTAAGGTTTGTAAACCTTATCTGACTCATTTCCCTTGATGTGCTTTTCTAAGCGTAGGTCAGTCGTTAAGTGCAGAGAATGCACAGAGAATGCTTCCTGGGTTCTTTGAGCTCTTTCTGCAGCCTATTTGCATGGAGCTCGTTGCTTTTGCACAAAGAGCATGTTTGGTCTCTACCAAAGCAGCTGTGGCTTTCAGCCTGCACTCACATCCGTGTGATCCAGAGCAGCACTTCCTCTCTTTAGCTACTCAGCCTGGGGGGCATTGGAGCTGTTATGCAGGACTTACCCTACATGATATGATGACCTGTTTTTGTTCACATGACCCAGAGCATTCATTGCTAATAGTTACAGGGGCCCACATGCTGTTAAAAAAAAAAAAAAAAAAAAGGAAGAATGTTGTGTGGGGAGAAAATACTATAACCTGTTGTGTGGGGAGAAAATACTATTCCACTAACTGCTAGATCTAAGACCAAAGCAGAACAGACTTTACCTGATCTTTTTCTCCCTCCGATATGTCATCCTATGTGATGTATTTGGACAACTTACATAGAATATTAATCAGCCTATTTATTTGCCCTTTTATCTGTCTTCAGTCAAAATGAAGACTTGTTTCCTAACTGTATCGACCTGTTGATAATGATTTTTACCAAGTTTAGGACTTCTTAAGTACAAAATGTATTTTTTCTAGCCTTTTCACTAACCTAGAAACATCCAACCTAGAATTGATGTGACTTTGCTATAAAAACGCAATTCAATTACGTGTCGAGTCAACTTATCCCTAAGGATTGGTGGATTAGCATCCTTTTTCTTTCCCCAATGTTCGGGTATAACATGGCAAAAGAAAAAAGTCATCTGCAGAAGTGCATCTGTCTGTTGTTTTAACCTGGATGAACTCTCACAAAAACATAGGCTACATCCACCATGCAGGCCTTTGCTCAGTTCCGATTTTTTATTTTTGAGGGGAAAAAAATCTGATTGTTTTCCATCATTGTTCACATTTCCAAATATATGGAACTTGTATGTTATCTCCTGTGTGAGCTGTATTCTCACAACTTGATGTCCTACATGTGCAGTAGAGGACGCAATAACGTCCCAAGCGATCATGCTCTGTGTTTATGGTAGTAAATGTGGATGGTAGTGCTGTAGCACCTCTAGCAGTCCTTCATTTCTTTCCCAAGCCCAGCCAGTGCATTAACATCTTTTCAAGAAGGTTGACAATAAAGATTCCTCTCCGCATTTTCGTCCGCCATGGTTGCTGTTTTTTCTTCCCGCTTCTGTGTAGCAAAACGCAGAACAATGTTGAGTATCGATGGCGTACAGGTTGGATGAACGTGACCTGGCCATTCAGACAGGTCGCATTTGAAAAGATCAGATTCATATTGGATTCAGGACCACATAGCCGGGTGGCCTGGGTCACATTAGAAAAAAATGGGATCTGTGTTGTTCAGACTAAAATGAGAAGATCAGGTTGCATATGCAAAATAATCGGGTTTGGGTCACTTCAGGCTGCATTGTGAATGTAGCCAAAGTTGTCTTTTTGTAATAATCAGGAAGTATAAGTAACTAGCTAATGTCTTCGTTGCTAATTTAAAATGCACTAAAGTATTAAAGTAAATGCCCTCAGAAATGATGGTTGATTTCCCAACATGTTAGAAACCCAGGTGTTTCTCAGCTATGAGATTAGAAGATCTGTTATGTGTTTATATTCCTGCATAGACTTTACAAAAATACATCAGAGCTGCTCTAAATTTGGACCGGAGAAGCAGAGCAGAAGCTCTTTGAGGAGGGGAGAGGATGGCTTTAAGAGAGGCTAAATTTAGCTTGACAACTGGAGTCATGTTTTTTAAACCTTTATTTTCCATCTTCAGGTCAACATCATCCCCATCATCGCCAAATCGGATGCCATCTCCAAAAGTGAACTGGCCAAGTTTAAAATCAAAATCACCAGTGAACTAGTCAGCAACGGGGTCCAGATTTACCAGTTCCCCACCGATGATGAATCCGTGGCAGAAATCAACTCCACCATGAATGTAAGGATAACTTTTCTACCCCATTTATACGGTTATTAATGTACAGTGCTGTCCGGGTTTGTTCATTTAAGTTTGCTAATATTTTTGTGTTGATATATCAACACTACTCCTGTGATCTTGGCTTGGGGCTGTCAGAGTAGGGAGATGTTTTCAAAGCAACATAATCAGCCGACCCACTCTGCAGGAAGTCAGCCACGTGGTTATCTAGCCGTTTATTAACCATGATGTTTATTCTAACTGACATTCCTACAGTTTTCACTTTGCCTTCTCCTCTAGTAGGTTTACAGATTTATTAAAAATTTTTTCTTCACTTTTGAAACCCGTCTAACCCCTCCTAGTTGAGACCAATCCACATTTTCAGACATCTTATGCTGTACACTAACTTTGCTTCCCCTTCTGCTCCTTAGAGCCATTTGCCATTTGCCGTGGTGGGGAGCACAGAGGAAGTGAAGATCGGCAATAAGATGGTGAAGGCTCGGCAGTACCCCTGGGGGACGGTGCAGGGTAAGCTAATGTTACCTCTGTTTCAGGAAGTGACAGAATGCCTTTTGTTTCCACGGAGCTTCTGAGGCAACTTCCTGACTTTATGCTTCTGCTCTGTTCTACAGTTCAGTGTGAACAATCTGTTAACCTGAGTAACATCATGAACTCTATCATCCTCTTACATTTTTATGTCACTAATGGCTTTATATTGATCTAAATCTTGATCAATCTATAATGAAGAGTTTGTATTTTTGTAAATGCAGCATTAGTAGTTTATAGTTTAAGTTTCTTTAAAGAAGGAAAATCTAATATTTACACATGAAAATAAACTCAACCTTTACTCTAATCGGTTTGGTGTAGCTTGAAAAGGCCTGGAGTATTAAACACATCTGGACCACTTTGGAGAAATAAACAAATAAATATAATATGGAAATATATTCGGATCCCCAGATTGTATTACCTGTCCAGCTCAGTTTAAGTTCTATCCATCCATTGTTTGTTTCAAAGAAAGACTTAAACTTTTAGTCCGATGCCACTTTGTTGAATTTCCAGGCAAAATGTAAAAACAGGGGGTGTGGTTGAAGGAAAGCAAAGAATAAAGGAGTCATTCTTCACCCCTCATAGACAGCAGTGGTTAGCTAAAAATCCCTCTGCTGCTGTGCAGTTTATCTTATCAGTTTTAGATGTAGGTCCTGTTTGGTGACATTGTTGCACAAACTGTATAGGAACTATTAGGACTGAAAAGAGTTTGATAGAAAACCCTAATAGATAGGATAGAAATGTGAAAGCTAACAGCCTAACTACAGTATTAAACACAAAATGGATAACTAGTGTGACTGTAAGATACTGTAACCATTACAGGCCTGCTTTAGAGGAAAACTGTTGGTTTCACTTATCTTTTTGGTAATTCTGTAGACACAACAAGTGCAACCCCCAACTGCATGGTGGCCCCATTCCTCAGGGTAAACAAACTGTGAACATTCGACCTGAATTCCTCACCACCCCCTAAGCACTACCCCATAACTATCGCATGTCACTCCCAATGAAGTCTCACTCACAGCTGTGGAAGACGACTTGATTGAAAGTGGGGGGTATAAACGAGAATGGGACATCTTTTTCCCCTCTAACAGAAAAGGAAAGCAGTTGCTGCTATGCAAACACAGTTTAATGGCACAGGTTAATATAACATTAAAAATGTGCCCCTTTCTTTAAAAGAGTAGTGGGTCGTTATCGGAGTTAATGGGCAATAAAAAAATATTGCCGTTAATCTATTCTCACAGTTGGGTTGGGAGCTGGCTCTATACTAATGATGACTTTCACCTTGTTGTTTTAGCACGGATGAATATTTGGGGGCGAGAACGAATCAGTCTTCCAACCTGTGTAGACCTACTGTGAAATTACCACATTGAATGTGACGTGCTGACATGGATGCGGCTATAAGCACAGCTCTATCAGCCAAGCTAACCAATCTCCTCACTCAGTGGATAGCCTCAAGCTGTTAGCCCAGCAGTGCGGTTGAAGATGATGGGCTCGAGTTGTTCTCCAGGCACCCACAGGTGACCCATCGTACGAACTACCTGTGAGGTGAACTATGAGGAGAAAGCATGACCAGCACGCTGCAGAGAAAGCCCCAAAAGATGAGAAGTTGATCGAGGCGACGTGTGTGTTAGATTTTTGGAGACATTATATTGTGAAAGTGGGACATCTATAATTGGAAATGGGATACTCTATTTTTTGCAGCAAAAACACAGTAACAAATTAGCAAAAAAAGCATAACCTTTTTAAAATCTTAAGTAAGAACACAAAGTGATGTGTGATTTTGCAAACAAAAAGTAAATCTTTTCTTTTAAATTCTGGAGGTAGCACACACACATCATGAATACCTTTGGCAGAATTCAAATGAGCGATTTTAAATCTAGATTAATTCTAAGATTAATTACATTCTTTTTCATACACTAACTTGTGATTTTCTGTCAGTTTGAAGAAGATGCAGCAAACCAACGGAATTTACATTTGGCGGAACGCGTTTCCTCCTCCAGCAGGCCGCTGTTACACCTGCTCCCGAATTCCAGCGAGCCTGCTGATGCAGACTCGCTATTTAAGGGCTTAATCGTCCACTGGCCCTACCCACTACATGGTTTGGGATGGTACTCAATGTGGCTAACCCTCCGCGGGAACGGGCAAACGGAGGGTTAGTGTTTAGGGGCTGGTTTAGGATTGGGCCTCGGACTGTGTCCTAACCTCTAACCCCTTCATCACTATATGCAGTGGGGGCTATATAGTGGACTTTATTGTAAACTCAGTTAACTGACCATTCAGACATGATGACTACTTTTCGCTCGCCACTGGTCACGTGACTCCGGCTCCCCGCACGGTGCCTGCTCCATCTTCATCACTCATATAAATCAGTGTAACCCCTGTACAGTGATCTATGTAGGGGTTAGGGCGGAGGTGTGGACACATCTGAGGTGTCAGAGTTGGACAATATTGACAATTTATATGTTCCGTTTTAAACAGACTTGTAAAGTGGAAAAAAAAGTAGTAGAAGTTCAATCATAAAACAGCATGTCTTCTCATTTTGTATTTGAATGTTATTCAGATGAGCAGCATTTGAAGTTGTTACACATCTGTCTCAGTTATAGTTGGTAAAGCCAGTCTAAATGAGGCTTGGATCACACAACAGATCATTTTGCTTCAGACTGGCTGCGTTCCCACTCACATGCTGTCACATGGCATAAAACAAACAGAGAAACCCCATAGCCTCAGCCCTTCTCTGCTTTGTACTAAAAGTGTTTAATTGAGCTGGGCTGTTTTGACAGTCCAAGTTCAGTCTGTGTCTGTTCCCTTTTTACACTATTTGCCCACTTTGAATGCCTATTTATTTAGATAGAGTCTGATAGATTTACTGTCTGATTTGTGTTTCTCTCAGTTGAAAATGAAAACCACTGTGATTTTGTGAAACTGCGGGAAATGCTGATCAGAGTGAACATGGAAGATCTTCGAGAACAAACCCACACACGCCACTATGAGCTCTACCGCCGCTGCAAACTGGAGGAAATGGGCTTCAAGGATACGGATCCTGACAGCAAACCCTTCAGGTAACATATGTGCAGGCACATCGGCATCTAGGATTTTTGTTGTTTTTGCTTTCTCCCAACGTCATTTTATTTTCCCTTTGTTTTCTTTTCTTGAACCAGTTTGCAGGAGACTTATGAAGCAAAGCGAAACGAGTTTATGGGTGAGCTGCAGAAAAAGGAAGAAGAGATGAGGCAGATGTTTGTCCAGAGAGTTAAAGAGAAGGAGGCCGAGCTCAAAGAAGCAGAAAAGGAGGTAAAAATAAAGACCACTTTTGATCAGGTCTTTCTCTGCTCTGTATCCCATGATTACGTATTTCAAGGGCAGGGCACCGTCATTTCTTTAATTGTTTAGGTTTCAGATCCACCAGCGTTTCGATTAGGGTTAGCCCTCAGTAGAGAGGATAAACCAAAAGTATTACATTAGGTTTAGGTATTTAGCCCGTGGAACTCATAGACATTAATAGACGCCTCATTGGGCGCTGCTGGCAGCGAGGCCAACATGCCTTTAAGACAGCCATCTTGGGTCAGACCATAGTTCACACTCCTGCTGTCAGAATGAATAGGAGGCTCCTTAGATCTCATTTTAATCACATGGGAGACGAGTCGAAGATAATATTACAATAATGTCTTGCATGTCACAACCCCTTTAAAGACCAAAACAAATTTTGTGGACTTTTATTTAGATTACTCATATACATTCAGATTAAAAACAATTTTAACTAAAGTCAAACTGGATTAAATGTAAACATGCAGTTATACGATTAAATATTAATTTGATAAAAACAATGTTTTCTATTCATATTTTCTAACATATTATATGAATATTATATATTTATATTATTCAGTAATTTTAAGGATTGATAATAAGTATTATGCTCTATAGTGTAAACTTAGTAGTAATGTAATTTACAAAAGAGAGTAAAGGTATTTAGTATTTTTATTCATTTTATGGTAGTTTTTATTTATTTTTTATTATCAACAATATTTTTCAAATCATAATGAATGATCTAAAGGGTTTAAGTCCTCATATCATGCTTTATGTATTTATTATTATTATTATTATTATTTATGCCAAATGTGATCCTTAGTTTTTTTTTATCAGTTAATCTGGGTCTTGTATATACACACACCCGAAGAAGGAAGCAATCCTGTTGTAACTGAGCAGATTTTGTTGAAATAATTGTAATAACTAGCATATAAACACAAATGTAGTTATATATTAAAATATATATTTCTAGTTATATCTATATATTTACAGTTTTTATATATTTTTATGTTTATTGTATAGTTTTATCAATCCTCATCCACATCTTTTTAGAAATCAGGGCCTTTTAAGCTCTATTCTCTACTTCCATCCCTGCTACTCATTTGCACCTCTTCTTTTAACAGCAGAAAAACAGTAACTATGAAACATGCGGATGATGTATCATAAAATCCTCATCCGATGATGCGGGGTTTATTGATGTCTATGCATGTTTCAGGTTTCTTCCAAAACATCTGGTGCTAATTTTAGGCTTTATTGCATTTCAAATAACTTTATTAGCAAAAATATAAACAATAGTAATAAAAAAAAAATGTTTAAACATCCCTACAAACACCAGTCAGTTTTGATTTATGTAAAAGCTTGAATTAAAACTTACGGCCTTAAGTTGGGCAGTGCCCTCCCCATACAGTACGGTGCCTTTCTCTTATACTGTTTAGCACAAACTTCCTTTTTCTGATTCCCATGCAGCTGCACGAGAAGTTTGATCGCTTAAAGAAGCTCCATCAGGATGAGAAAAAGAAGCTAGAGGAGAAGAAGAAGAGCCTGGATGATGAAGTCAACACATTCAAACAGAAAAAGACTGCAGCTGAGCTCTTGCAGAACCAAGCTCAGCAGGCAGGGGGCTCCACCACACTCAAAAGGGACAAAGAAAGGAAAAAGTGAGTATTTGTTCCTTCTGATTCCATACCCACACACTAAAGATGTAGGAGATCCAACTTGGTAATGAAAGGCTTCAATAAAATCAGTGTCGGAGCTTATTTATGTTTATACAGTGAAAACTTCCTGCTTTGGTACATCTATTTTAGGGTTTAGGTAGAGGATCAGTGCTCCATTTTACCCTTTGCTTAAACCACTATGTTACTTGTTAAAAGAACCAACACTAATCTAATCTAATTACTAAGTACTGAAGAAATGAGAAAGCAACGAAGGCACAGAAAAGTCTGAAACTGGAAACTGGCTGAAGGTCAGCTGAGTTTAATGAATGACCTCAAGTCCAAAATGATTAAACTGAAAGCAAACACCAGTGTTCTCCCAAAGCTAAGTCTGTAAAAAACAGGTATTAGTTACTTTTGAATGTATTAAGAATTAACCAGTTTCATACCAACAACATGTTAATGCTGGTAACTTTTAAAAATCCTACATATTTTTTTTTCATTAAACTATGGGTTGTATGACAGTTCCCTCTTTCTTTGTCACATATTTAAGCAGTGTACAGCCTAAAATGTTTTGGCATGTTAAGAAATAGTCTTTTAAGGTCGTTGTTGGCAACTGCACAAAGATTTCCATGTTTGGGTCACTATGTGACCAAAACCCCCATTAGATGCCCAATGCGTGCCTATTGGGATCTTTGCAGGACAAGCCTTCAAACAGCTCTTTTTTCTTAACTGTATAAGCGTAAGCATATGGAGGTTAACTGGCACCTAAATTAGCCTAGCTTACTTTGGTCAGCTCAGACCAGGATGCTGGTTTTCTGCAACAACCATGTGGGATATAGTAATAAAAAGACAGAGCGAATGTGTGGAAAAGCAAACATGTATATGAATCAGTTTGCTGTCCAGTGTTTCTGCATGTGTTTAAGTTAATCAGCTCCTGGTTGAGTGTTGGAGCTGATGTCCCTGTTTAGAACAAGAACCAACACTCGGACTGTTATAGCTATGCTGTTCTTGTATAGCGTTATTTCTTCACACTTTTTTTCTTTCTTTTTTTATCACAACCAAGTTTTTTTTTTTCTCTTAATAAGCATTGCCTGCAGGTTTATTTCTTTTTGTTCTTTCTCTCTCCATCAGTGGGTCAGCATTATGAGTTGTTGCACTTGACGCACTAATGAAATACTGCATCTGTTTTAACCTTCACCTAAACTCCTCTGTTTTAGTCCACAGAAGGCAGAGTTAATTGTTCCTGCTTGTTGTGTTGATTGTATGTATTGTGAGCGCATGTATCACCTTTATTGCATCCACAATGTTTTCCAGTTAACTCCTCCCACACTTCCCAACTTTACTGGTAAGAATGAATAGATTGCATGGGCCAATCTATTCAGGTTGGTGAACATTTATCTCGTCATAGGCAAATTAGTAAAGATTTAATAGAGGAAATGTGACGAGGTTTCAGTAATAGGATATTTTCTGTTGCTTAATCACGTGAAAGCTAAAGTATATCTGTATTTATTTGTAATGTGACAAATAGGGTAAAAAAAATTTAATTATTATGAATGTTATTGGAAGATGCTGTATCCTATTTAAAATTGATGAAACCCTTCAAAATAAAAGATTTCTATAGTACAGTCTTTGAGAAACGAATGTCCGAATCTTTTAAGTGCAACAGATCAAAAACAAGATTTGTTTGTTAAAAAACACCCAATTAAATATAAAATATAAAAAATAAAACAACCAAAAAAACGAACAGACATACACGATGTACTGAAATGTACTGTCCAACTATAGTCCTATTCAAATTCTCAGAACCAAAAATATGATTCAAGACAAAGAAACTGAACAAAGAACTGTAGAAATAAAATAAGGAACTTAAATTTGAGCAGTGTCACCATAAGACTATAAATACAATTAGTTTTGTTGGTGCTGATTTAGATGTTGCCTGAAATTTGTGATGTTTTTTGTCTTACTGGTGCTGAAGCCCTGACTAACACTGCAGATGCTGCATCTAACAGATGTTACATCCTTCATGAAGTGGCTCCAAACCCGATTGTTCCCCTCTGCCTGTAAAATGGATATATATACATTAAGTATATTTTGATAATTAGATTTCACTACTACAGATGAGCATTTAAAAATGAAAGCAAGTGGCTGCATAGAGTTGAAAGTGAAAACCCACAGGCCAATGAAAGGTGTTTTTTATCTGATTCATTTTTAAAAGACTTGTTCGCAATTACACCTTAGAAATATAAATTGGTCATTTTTACAAGCAACTGAAAAGTTCCCTCCTCTGAACTAGGGGGACTAAACTAGGTTTAAAGAGCAATGCAGCAGATTTTGAAACATCGGAACAGGTTTGCAAACTAAACAAATGAGTTAAATGAAAAAAATGAACTTCTGAATTGATGAGCCCCAGTTCTTCCTGCATGTCAGCATGACCACAATATAATAATATTATTTTCCTTCTGAAATTAAAAGCTAAAACTTGTGCAGAGCTAAAATGCAAATATGTGGCTCTCCTTAATGCGCCCTAACGCAATGTTTCCATGAGGATGGTTGTTGTCATGAGGCACTAAAGTGCAGTTTCACAAAATCACAAGGGAGCAGAGGAGCAGAATGAGGCTGGCAGAAGTAATGTTTTGATTTTTACTGCAAAAATAGAATTTTTTATGCATCAACCACATTTTGGCTGATGTCAATAAATGAACCAGACCCTAAAAATCAGCCTGCTGATTAATCGTTCAGCTCTACTCCAAACACACGCATCTTATGCATTCCTCCATTTTCTTCCCTACAACCATAAAAGTATTTTTTTTGTTTGTTTTTTGTTTTTGTTTTTTGCGGCTCATCAAAGATTTGACCAAGCCGGTTCCTCCTAGAGGTTTTCGACAACAAACGGTTCACTCATACCCTCATACCTTACTAGCATGTTTTCTTCTGTGCTGTCTGATGTTAATGTGCTGATTTATAACTGTGTACAACAAGCATTAACAGCCCTTCTCTCTCATTTCCAGCTAAGGAATCCTGTAGAAAAAAAGTCCTCCCTTGTGGCAATCCTGCTGTGAATGAGCTTCCATCCCCATCATGTTTTACAGTACCCCTCCCTCACCTTCGCCTGCACCCAATTCCCATAACTCCACCCTCCTCCACATGCTCCCTCCCCCCCGCTGCTTTTGTGGAAGACGCTGGGCATTTCTATCAGTTTGACATCACTGTTTTTTGTTTTGTTTATCTGAATGAGGCTTGTTGGTTTTGTACAAGTGATCATTCCGCTAAAGTTCCTGTGTTATGCAAATTTACATTCCAGATTTGTTTCATATTCAGCTATTCTTTGCATGATGTGAGCTTTTTTGAAAGATATTAACATACATGACTACTGGTGTGATGGACAAGAACGTGTTAAGGCTAAAGAGGATCATGCATGATCTATAGAGCATCTGGGTCAGGTTTGTTATCTGAAGATTATAAAGAAATACAGGTATTATCTGTTAGGCACCAATGGGAGCGGAGTACAATCCATGTACTCAAGCTCTATTTGCTTGATTAAAATTGGCAGATCATGTGAAATATTAGTATATATTTTATAAATCATTTTCTTTAATTCTTGCCAACCCTATATCTTGCCAATACTGTTGGATCTCATGCAGTTGTCTTTTCCCTTTAGCCTGATGCATGAGCAGATGCGAGCCCGATATCTTTTGCCACTTCTCGCATACCTCATTCATTGTCATGTTTTATTTGCATACTTATATTAGCTTTCATATTTGCACTTTGTTTTATACTCAAATGTGACGTGTTTTCAAAGTATATTTCAGTGTCATCAGTGCAATTGTAACTTTCTTTTCTTTTTGTACTTTTTATATGTAGGCACATTTTAAGGTCATAATTATGAAAATAATTATGATTCCACATCCTGCAAGGACATATATTTGTATCAGTGCAACACGTTGAATAACATTTTCTAAAAAAAATAATAAATTTTTCACCAAAACGATGTAACTGTGGCCATGGTCATTGTGTGTGAGATGTGAAAAATAGCAACAGCCTAAGGAAGAATGGGAGTTGCTTGGATTATTAAACTGCAGGGAGGATTTCTGGTGATACTTGTATGTGTGTGTGTATGTATATATATATATTTTAATAAATTAAACTTTTATATGAAAGTCTGGGAGGGGGGTTAATTTCCTTTGACCTACTCCTAATTATTTTGCCACTCAGACAGCGATTATTAGAATTTATGGAAGCTCATTTCACCCATTGAGATGATCGAGAAAAGTATCACATTATGAAAATGCCACATCATGTTTTTAACTAAACTCACCCATTGCTAATTTTGGGATATATATATATATTCATGACTTATTCTATAATAATGAGATGCCATCTAATTATTTGTAATAAATACTGTAATGTGATGTAATGTCTTATCACCATTTAAGTAATTATATGACAGAGAACCATGTATCCTATCTGCTAAATATGTTGGATTTTTAAGACCTTTGAGATTATTCCATAACTAAAACATGATCCCTTCTCATAATAATAATTTAGTCTTCCTTAGAGGGATTTGATCTTATAATAATGTTGGTTATTTCATAGAAGGGATGGACATAATAAAAACTGATAGTGATGGAATATAGACATTGCATAGCTATCTCATGTTATTTTAACTTATCAGAAATGTACTTCCATAGCAATAAGCCTGACAGAGTGGCAAAATAGAAGTAATGAAGAGGCATTACATCCATCTGATTATCAGCTCACTGCTCTGTGTGATTTCACTTTCCTTTGCAGTAATCCGTGGCTCTGCACTGAATAGGTCCTCTGCCCTCCCCCAGCTTTGCTAAGGGACCGGCCTCTGGGGGTACTCTGTGCCCCAAGTGTCACCCGAGGCTTTGTGGACCCCATCTGCTTCAGGGTTTCCAGTCATTAGCTTTTCTATAAATATGGGTTGATGTGTTGCTTTACTGCTGCTTTAACCTTTAATGAAGCTCTCTAATTCTTCATGTTCAACGTTTGTGTTGATGTGACTAATGTATGGCACGTGTTCATAAAACATTACAAGATTGATGTTTGCAATCTTCAGCACCAAAGTTCAGATTATTTGGAGAGTTTCAATGCAGTATTTGCAGCGCTTGGTATTTAGCTCCTTGCAGATTTCTTTGTTGGTTTTGTTTGTATTGTTTCAGATCACTAAAATTCATTTTTATATCAGACAAAAACAAATATTTAAGGTTATTTTAATGATAACAAAGATGGATTTCCAAATCAACCTGACTAAATAAAATGTAAGGTTATGCTACTGAATCTCTAAAATCAAGTCAAAGTCCAAACTTTGACTTGATTTGAGCCAGTCACGGGTGCTGAATGGCAACAACTAGTGGCTGGATCTTGTACTTCCAGACTTTGTTTTGGAGAGCAGAACTCATAGTTCTATTAATGACAGAAGGTCCGGCTCCTACAGCAGCTCCAGTCATCGCACTCCTAACACCATGCTTGACTTGGTTCTTTTTTTGAATGTTTTGAGCAGGAGTAATAAGTGTGAATCTTTGGAAGATTTACACCTTCCAAAAAGTCTTGTCAGTCTACAGTAATGTTTTTCGAAGCTCATGGAGGTAATAAAAATATTCCTTTTGTCAAATCCACCCTCTTAGATCACCAGCGGGTTTTAACTTTAATGCTTAGTGGTTTACTGGAGTCCCACAGACTTGGGCTTTCTAACAGTTTTCAATCTGGAGGAAGTCTGTTATTCCTCTCTGACTTTCTTCCACAATTTCTTGAAATTATGTGTTTTATTGTTTTTTTGCTGTTATATTTAGGTGATTGCTTTATGCAACAGGTCAGACAAAAGTGTGCCTAGTGAATTTGATCCTCTTTGCAGCTTATAGCTGATAAAAGATCAAACTAAAGAGGTGAAATCTACTTTTTCACATAGTTCTGAGTTGATTTGCATATTCTTTGATACAATCATCAGTGATTTTATTGGTGATCTGAAAAATATCCATAATTACAAAAAAAGCAAACCATCTAAATGGAGTGAAATACCCTTTCAAAGCACTGCAAACATTTGGGAGTTAAGAAGGATAAATTCCTTTAAAGGTTTTCTCGAAGTTGAAGCTTTTCTCTCGCTCTTCGCTTTTTATCTGCAAGCATTTTTCCCTCTCCTCTAACCTCCGGCTTTGTTTTCTCTTTGTCTCTTCAGCTTCTTTTAATCTGTCTTGACCACCTGAAGAGGGGATTGCAGCTTCAGCAAGAACTAAGCACCCTTTACCTCCTTCTGCTTTTTTCTCCTTGTATCAGCCTTTTCATTCTCCTCATCGCATCCTCCTTTTATTTAATATGGCCTTATGTGGACTCGCATGGTATTTCTGACCACCTAGTGAAGCTCTGAAAACCAGAAACGGACTAAATTATGCTGTTATGTCTTAATGTACATAGAGAGACTCTTATAGTTAGCAGAGGATTTCAGGAGGGAGTCACACTTTTTTTTTTTTTTTTTTTAGGATTCACGGGTAAAATCATTAAATTATCTCTTTCTTTAAATTTAACATGACCTGCACTATGCACTCATTTAGATTCAAAGTATAAAATGCATATTAAATTAAACCTGAGAAATGTTTGAGTCGTTATTGAATGAAATCCTGAACACTTTAAAGGAGATCTGTTTTGTTTTTTTAAATGGAAAAAAAAATTAACATAGTCCTAAAAAATGCCAAAGCAGCTGTTATGGTTCTCGTGTTCAGGTATCACCATTGAATACCATGGAGGTCACATGTCAGGGGCTTTTATTACATGTCGTGCTCTAACATTAACTGGTCTGTTCTATTTTTTTTGCATGCATCTTTTATTAAAGTTTCATAACTGCTGTGATCTTTCTGGTTTTTACTCCCCAGATATCTGAGCTCTGCGGTCTGTTCCTTTAATTGATGTTTTCTTACAAAAAAATGAAAAAAAAATGTTGCATTTAATCACTATAATTGCTCTGTCCAATGATTTCAGCTCCCAGTTTACCAAATGAGTTGAACAGATCCCCAGATAAAGAGTATTAAAAATACTCCTGCATTTATATAATTTATAAGGATATATTTTGTGTATTAAAGTGGAGATTTGTTGTTTATTACCTATGGTGTTTGGATGTGGTTCTTTGGAGTGTAAAAGTGACATTTTGGAATCAGGACCTGCCTACAAGTTTTTTCTAGTATCTGCCATCACCTCTTGTTGTTTAAACCTCTATTACAGTACAAATGATTCAGTATTCTGCTTTAGTTTAATTCCATTGATGTACATTTTGAATAAAAAAATAAATAAAACCAACATAGTAATGGTGTTGTCCTTTATTTGTCTATTGTTTTTGTTTGCTTTTTTATTTTTTAGAATAATGGTTGTATCTATTACAATTAGAATGTTGTTGTACTTGGAAGAAATCTGAAATATATATTTGAATTTGCAAAAAAGAGGAACAACAATTTTATTTAAAAATGTTAAACATGAACATATAAAAGCAGAATGATCAAACGATATCTTGCTAAACAGATTTAACTGTAGTTGAATCTGACAAAGGTTTTGCCATCTATTAAATATAATCTATGGATTTTTTTTTTTATTGTTTTGAATCGTGAAGAGATAATCAACTTACAGGTGACTGTCACCTTTATTAAGACTGAATTAGATCTGTATCTAGTTACATGCATACGCTTTTATTCTGTGCAAGAGAGAAAAAAAATACAGTCAGCTGCATCAATGTATTCCATATTTAAGCCACTCATTAAATTGCTTCAAAAAATAAAGAGGTCACAGCAGTAAAGAACCACTTATTCCCAACAAGCTGAACCAAGCTCAGTATGAGCTGCAATATTTTTTTTTTCCATGTTGAAAGATTTGAATCCTCTTGCTACTGAAATATGCTATACAGATAAACTTGCATTACCATCCCTTGTGAAATTACAATAATCAAACTTACAGTAGGAAGAGATGGACATAAAAAATACATTTTATTCAGAAACTTGGTTTAGAACTAGTATGAAAAACAGGAAATATTTATGTTAAAAATTTAAAAAGGCTAATTATTGAGTAGGTTTTGCATTACTTCAAAATCAGTTTTTCATTTCTATTTTACACAAAAAATTATTTACATGTATTTATTCTAGGTAGGAAAAATATTATTTACCCATAGAATATATGAATATATAAAAAAATCTGTCTGCAAGTATTTTTTATTTATTTATGTTTTTATGTATAATTTCTTCTTATTGACCCTATTTGACTGGATGCGGTGTGTGAATGTAAGAAAATTGGTGAATGTGGTGTGAAGCCATATGCCAAAGGCTTACAAATAAACAGGCCTTTTAGCCTGTAGCCTAAAAACATACATAAAGGGAGTAAAACAAGTGGGGAGTGTCAAATTATAATTTTACAGTCCATATTTTTTTATAAAAAAAAATTGTTCTGTTTCAGTTATTATTTTCAAGTAACTAGGGAGATAGAATGTAAAACAAACTGGGCAACACAAACTGTTAGGTTGAGACAATATTTATATATAAATATTCTAAAAAAATACCCCATTCCATCTTTTGTAGAGAATTTACAAAAATGACGAAATAAGTTTTAAATCTGTGTCTGTTTATAAGTTAAACTTTTAAAAGAAACTTTATGAATAATATAATTTAAAAAACATAATATATTCCTTTCGCATTTTGCCTGACGGACGGAAGCCTTCTAGGCCAGCGTGTGAACAGGCGCCATGATTTTCCTAAAGATGCGGAGAGAAAATGGACGCTTCCTGCTCGGATAAACTCGTGTCTGTAGCCGACTGTTGTAAGGTTTTGCGTTGTGTCATAATGTCAGCACCACTTGCGCTCCAGTAGAGACAAAAATGGACACATTAGAGTTAGAAAAACCTCGCTTTTGAAGCGGAGTAGAGTAAGCTAGGTATCAAATGTTACACTGTGTTGTCAGACAAACTAGCCTAGACAGCTAGCATAAGATGCTAACCGGTTTTATCATCAGCATTACCCTCATTATCTTCTAATATGTTACTTTTAGTGGTATTGTGAGACTAAGCCCTACAATTTAGGGTATTTTTACTCTATTGACTGTTAATAAAAGTCTATACGGTATATTGTTTAGCTTGCTAACGTGTGAAATATTAATTAACTGCGTCACGATTAAACCCTGATATTAACATTAAGTCTAGCTGTTGTTTTCGTATTTGAGCATAAAGCCTGTAAAAACTGCCCTATATGATACATACAAATTAAAACCATACAGTCGTTCATTGTTGATGTCTCATCAGGACCTTTTGCTGTAGGAACGGATATGGGCTGGATCTGACCTGGACAGTCCTGGTGATGGAGGACAGGACTTGGACTACCGAAATGCACTCCTTTGATCAAAGTCCTGTTGGCTCTGAAGCTAAAAAAAGACCCACTTCTTCTGATGGCAGTAAGTTATCAGAGTTGTTTTACATGCTTGTTTATAATTTTTTTTTTTTTTGTGATAGGATTACGTGCCTGGACATTTTTTGTTGTACAACCAATATATCTATTTTTTTTTATTATCAAGTATTGTCTTAAACTACATAAAACACTATCCGCCTTCAGCAATTCTTCAGCTGTTGATTTTAAGAAGTTACATTTAAAAAACACTGCCGTTGATGTTCAATTTCTTTTTTTAAATTGATATTTGGTCTCAGGAAGCTGTTATTCCAAGTTAAGTTTATACTGTAAGTTACTCCGTGAACAAATTGTGATTTGAAGCAGGATATTTTGCAAATTTAAGCTGAGACCTGACACAAGAAAAGCATCAGAAATGCTGTGCCCTTTACTTAAAGAACCTGTGGATGTAGGGCAACAAAAGTGCATTAAGCTCTTGGTAAAGATGCATTCGTAAATCCTGATTCATAGGTTTTTGAGCATCAGCATTTTCACCAGACTCTATAATTTCTATAAACTTTTAGTCACAGATTTCCCTCTGAGACTTTTTTTTGGTAGTTGCAAAGATTTTGAGATTTCAAACAATATTTATTCACATATTTTTGAGGTTTCCAGGCCTAATTGGAAGCATAGATGACAATCACATATTATGTTCGTTCACTAAAGAAAGGATCTTATATTTTATTTGTAATGCTTTTTAGGTGATTTTTTTTTTTTTTGCTATTTCATACACTTTTATGCATTTTTGCAAATACAACTTGAATAGCGGATTCAACAGCGGAACAGCAGCTCTGCTTTTTTTTCCCATATTGAGTTGAGAACTAACTCACTTTTCACATATTAATTACAAGTGATTAATTACATGTGTTGAATAATGCAAATAAAAGGCTGTCTAATTTAGTTGGCAAAGGTCAAATAGAAGAAAAGCTAATAATTGGATCTTACCTTGTCTATTTAAATTCTATCTGAATTTTTCTGCATGGTCCTTTTTTCGTCTTCTGAAAGTATATTTCACATGGGCACACAGACACATTATTTTTGGTATGTTAGAAAATAACAAATTCTCTATCAAATCCCACTCTTTAATTGAATGAATGCTAAATCTATTTATTTTGCAGCAAGAACAGTGTTGAATTTTGTGTTCGGCAGTTTTGATAACATCAATATGCTGTCTTAAGAATTTTAAGTTTCACTGACAGGAAATACGCACTATGAGGCCCCTTGATTCCTCCTGTTGCAGCGATAGATCGTGTTTTCTAGGGCTCTGAATTGAGTTATATGATTATTATCAGCCAATTTTGGACTGAAAATCCTGAATATCACAAAACCAGATTCACTCAGAATAAGTTAAGCCCACTTCCTGAAACAGGGCCCAGGTCAGCTAGTGAGGCAGGCTGGATGGAAGCTCATCAACATAGGACGTAGGAGACGTTTAAAACTAATAAACATCTTGATAAACCAAACTATTTATTAGATAGATATCTGGGGATTATTTTTGTCACAGAGGGTGTGAGATATTAACCAGGACCGTTTGCACATTAAAGTATAGAGTTGGGAAAATTGAAATCATAAGAATGTTGTAAGAATGATGAAGTTGTATTAAAATAAATTATTGTAAGTTCATATAGTGGAAACCAGTCTATATAGGAGGAGCTGCTAATTTTATACAGAATATTACTATGGCTGCTTTGATGTATTCAAGAGCTGTATGAGTTATTTAATGCCTCTGGCAGAGCATTTGATCCTAGGTTTGAGTTGCGGCAGAGCAGGAGGTGTTTCTGGAATTTGTTTCTCTAGTTTCAGCATGAGCCACTCTTAAGCGATGATTTGATCTGTCTGTCTTGGAGAGTATTTTTTAAACCTAAAAAAGACACTTTGAATTCTGTAAAATTGTCCCACTATGAAAAAACTAAAAAACAATCTTGTTAGTTTTCCTTTTTTGACACAGAGCATGGCTTCATGGTTTTTGGAAATTAATGTCTCAACTGAGATTATGTCAGGGTGTATTTGTTTTTCTAAAACCAGCCTTTATAATTTCAGGAGACGAACCCATGAGGAAAATGCCTGTGACAAAGTTTGGATCCAGACCTAGATTTGAGCCTGTGCACTTTGTTAGTGGGGGAAGCAGCGCGGGAACCGGCACAGATGAGAAGGAGAACGATAAGGAGCGCAGGAAGAGTGACTGGCATGGTGCAAGACAGTGGGACTCTCATCACTCCTTACACAGCGGCCGGACGCAGGGATTCTCCTCTCTCAGGCCTGCTTTTGACCGAGTGCCACCGTGCTCCAATGACTTTTGGGGCGCCCCCAGAGATGGAAATGGTTCTCCCGGTAGCACTAGTGGACTAGGTTATGGAGGCCATGGGCCATCGTTAAACTACATGGCGAAAATGCAGCAGAACTACACAGCCAAGTATGAAGCCCACACATCATCTTATAGTTTAGACTCTTATTCAAAGCCCCAGCGGTATAACGGATATGTGGATGGGAGCAGAACTAACAGCTGGGACTCTGGACGTCAGGGGTTGGGGTATGGCCATCAGGGCAGACCTTTTAGTAGAGCTTACAGCCGTCCAAGCACAAGCAGCCCCAATCAGTCAGAGAGTGCAAAGCCTCTTCAAGTGTCTCACTCCATGTTGGAGGAAAAGCAAAGGCTGATCACCAGCGTTGCCAATGCGTTATCTGTTGGTTTTAGGAACCCTTTGTTAATGACAGGAAGTGATTCCCCGAACTATAATTTCATGTTGAGTCGCAGCATCCAGGCCTGCAAAACCAACCCTGAGTATATATATGTCAACCTGAAGGATATTCCCCAGGCTGACCTTCCAAAGAACAGGAAAGTGCCAACAGATGGGTACGCCTGTGAACTGAGATGTCAGGGGGTGTATCTTGCGACGGGATACTCTGGCAGCAAAAACGGAGCGAGGGACCGAGCATCGGAGCAGGCTGTGAAGCTCCTGCTGAAACCAGTCGAGGTCCGCGTCGTGCAGCGTAAACACAGGCACTCTTTAGTCAGTGACATGGTCGTCTGCCAGATGCACGGCCCAACACCAGCATTTCTACCGGCACTACGAAACCCGGAAGACAAAACGACACCCAGCCCCAAGAGCCACCTGGAGCCCGACCTAAACAAACACTGGACTGAGTTTGTGGTCATGGACAATGCTCACGACGCCATCTGCATTTTGAACAACTCCAATGCCTTCAATCGCATGAAGATCGACTACGAGTTTGTTCAGCTGCCCAGCAATCTATGGCAGTGCAGCATCTTCCTGCAGGACGAGCTCATAGCGAAGGCGACTGGAACCAAAAAGAGCTCGAAACACGCCGCGGCTGAGGAGGCTGTGAGAAAACTACGCCTAAACCAAGCACAACGAGAGCACTGGCAGAAGCAGACGCAGCATCTGGGTGGAAATAACCAGCCGGATCCTGGTGACTGCTTTGGGCAGCAGTCAGACCCCGCTGGTTCTTTTGGGCCGCAGGGGGTCATTGTCAGGAAGAAGCACCTGAGCGAGCTAGTGATCTTGGAGAACTCTGATAATGCGATCTGTATTATTAATGACACTGCTCAGTTTAACAAAGTAAGTGCTGATTACAGATTCTCGGTTTTGCCAGATCACCGCTGGAGGTGTGAGGTTTTTCTTGAAGGGCAGTATGTTGCAGCAGGAATTGGACCAAAGAAGATCGTAAAACACATTGCAGCGCAGGAGGCTTTAGCTACACTAAGGCAGACTCAGGCTGTGGTCAAATCTAACTTGAGGAAAGAGGGACACAACGATGCCATATCCCGTTCTCAGATCCTGGCTCGCTCAGGGGAGGAGGCCCTTAAGCAGGAGATTAAGGAGGACAATATTGGAAACCAACTGCTGCGTAAAATGGGCTGGAAAGGAGGCGGCCTGGGGCGAGACGGGGAGGGAATTGCTGAACCGATCAGAGTGAAGGAGCAGTTCTCCAGGGAAGGTTTGGGTATGGAAATGGATAAAATGGGAAACCAGCTCAGGAAGCGTGACATTGAAGACATCATCCGTAACTATGCTAGTTCGGACAGAACAGACGACCTCCGTTTCTCTAATGAACTCACTAACGACGAGCGCAAGCAGATTCACCAGATTTCCCAAAAATACGGCCTCCGGAGCAAGTCCTACGGTCAGGGACGGGACCGGTTTCTGGTTGTCAGTCGGAAGGTACACAAGGATCAGCTGATCGGCCAGCTTTTACAGGAAGGACAGGTGGGACGCTACAAGCTCATCAAGCCTCAGGCATCTCACTAAACTGCATGAAATTAAAATGTTCTTCAAGTTGGACTTCAAAGCATATCATCCCGAGGCCCGGATCTGCTCCGGCAGTAACATGTCCTGGCTTTTGATGTGTCCATTTTTATCTGGCATTAGAATCCATCCTGAGCGTGGAGCTGCTTTCCATGCAGGAAAACATGTAGCAACATTGAGCTCTCAGGTGAAATGAAATTTATACAGTTTGAATCAAACATTTGGAGTTCTCTCATCATTAAGCGGTATTGATGGAGTATTTAATCTGTCCTTTTTTGGGTGGAATGATCAATCCTATATCCAACATTAGTGAATTTACAGCTGAACAGCTCAGAATTCTACATATAGGCTCACGTTTCTACCTACATCCTCTCTAACTAGTGGTTATCTTGCTATGAAATCACACTTTCTGCAGCCTTCATTAAACCTTTAACATTGTTCTACTGGGATTATTGACAACGCTTGTAAAACTTGGTCAAGGTCATTAAAATCTGCAGCTTTCCTGCCACTGAACAGACCGTTGAGCATATTTTAAATGGGATGAGCTTTTTACTGACTATCCATTCGAAACCAGCTTTGTGTGTTTTGGGTTATTGTCTAAAACAAACCACACATTGTGTTCAGGACCTAAACTTTCCACCCTCAATTAAATATTATTGATTAGGGAGTTTAGAAAACAACCCCCCCTTTAACTTTAAGCATCATGCGAAGAAACTAGAAATAGAGGAAGCTCCGTTCTTCAACTTTGCTTTAATAGCTATGTGCTTTGATCCTTGACAATGATCCCACCAACACTCAGATCCTAAAGCAGACTAATGTCAAGTTTCTGGAATGGGCCTGACCACGGCTTTATTAAGAATTTATAGACTAAGCCTAAAAGCTAGGTCGATGCCAGGAAACACTCCAATTTTTCTAATCAGAGGATTGATCAAATATCCAGCCGGCATCAATGCTGAAAGGTTGCTGAAAGCTGCCAAGTCTGAGATTCCTCTGCAACTTTATGATAGGACCTCAGCCAAGTATTCATTTATTTTTATTTTTTTTACATGAGCCTAAATGTATGTTTGAACAAATCACACTATTAAAAAGTTCAGAAAAACAAATTAAACTATTTGTATTAAGCGTGCAGTCCAACCAATTTTTACTGAGAGGGATTCCAGCAGGCAGTTTATCACTTTTCACTGAAAATGTTTCTCTGAGAGAAACCAAACGGTTCTGAGCACCAGTGTCCAGATGTGAAGGGATCTGCCAGGAAAAATGTTTATTAACCTGCCATTTCTATTTGTTTGGGACATATCTGCAAAAAAGGGTAGTTTGATAGAAAATATGTATGACTGAAGTTTTGTTTTTTACACATTCATGTCATTAGAAGACTGTAGGATTTGTAGTCTTTGTCTCCAGTCTTTCTACATCTGAACTTGTCAGCGCCCTGTGGGATTTTTTTCTGTTATTTTAAACTCAAGTAGCTCTTTGGACATCACTATTTGACTGTTTAATGAACCTGGCAGAAAATGCAGCTTTTCTTTGGAGAAAATGTAAACAGTTAACTCATGTAAGCCTGGATTAAACCTTCCTGTAGTTAATTCATAACCGCCTTACCATGACAATGCATCTGTATTCAGGAATATTTGCTTTTATTTCAGTAACGGATCATCGATGATCTCAAAAGACTTTATGGAAACATCCGTGGTCCTAATTGTTAAACGGTTGTCTGAGTGCACTTAACATGTTTGCTTGTTTTCACAGATGTAACTACTAAATAAATGGGGGGGGGGGAGCTGAACTTAGTTCAAATAAATACATGTTTATGTAAATTAGCACATTTTTGGAAAATTGATTTATTCCGGTACTTTCATTTAAAAAGTTCACTGGCTTTTACATCTTTTCATTTAATCATGGCTAATGAAATCCCATTTCCTTAGAAAATATTCCTTTTTTTTTTAAAGTAATCTTAATACAGAGACATAAGCCTATAGAAAAGCATGTCACTAACCTTCATGTTGCATGCATGAATAGTTGCATCAAAGCACTGCAGCATTGAGATGATCAACCAGTGGAACGTATAAGGTCTAAAGAAACTCAGGTTTAGGTCTTAAGCTTGTCTACATTCTACTCATCTTCCTCTGATCATGTGAGCAAGCTGGCTAATCAGATATCTTTTAACCAAAACATTAAACTCGTGTTCATTCAGATTGTTGGAGCTGTTTGCAACTGGAGTGAAAAACTCATCTGAAATAAGGAATTAAACCAGCTTATTTTAATTGTCACCTTTTCATTTTTTTAATGTAGTGTATCACATGGATTACCAGTGATAGATTAGGTAATTTGAAAAGACCATTTGTGGAAGGGTGTGCAGATATGATTATAGGATTGTGAAATGGCACAATTGTTTGCACAAGATCCGACCCATAAAAAAAGTACAGGTATGCCTAACTGTAATCAATATTTATGAAACTTTTAAGGTGACAGGATGCTAAAATCTCATTATTTGAGGAGGGGCATTGATAATACTCCATAAGCATCATGGTTTATAATTAAAAGGTGTGGCTGTTTAAGAAAATGTAAAAAATAAGACTCCAAGAGGTTTAGAGTAATTAAGGAATATTTCCATTATTTCAGCAAATTCTTTATACCATTCCTTTTAATGTGCAGACAAAAGTATTTTTTTGTCATTTTGGGAAGATTGAAAAAGAAAAGCTTTATTTCTGTAAATATAAAGTGGCAGTATTTACAAACCAAACAATAGCCTTCCATATAGTTCAGTTGGTACTTGATGAATTACCTAGCAGAGAGGTCATGTTTGAGAAAATGAAAAGCGATTAAATATCGAAATAAAAAGGCATATGAGAAGTAACCCAGAAATAACAAGGTACATTAGCTTTCAGCTCTGCTTTCAAACGACAGAATCCAGCAGCAGTGAATGCCACATGACTACAGCATACAAACTGAGCAACGGTAAGAGGGACAAAATATACTGGAGGATCTTTTAAGTTGCGCTGTGACTGTTTCTGATGTCTTGATTATGGTTTTCTAGATTCTGTGGTGCACACTGTTCGTACGCCGGCGACTCGCCGTCAACAGTCACGCCAGCTCTGTTCAACAATAGCAGAAACCCTCTTCTCATATTCCCGCTTGTTTTCCTGGTAAAGCTGGGCTGCTTGGCTGTTGGCTGGACTGTTTGGGTTTGGCTCGTCCAGTAAAGACTAGATAATGAACAGAGAGCATCATCAAAACAAGCTCAACATACTTAATGGTGTCATAGCAGGTTATGAGCTTTTATTAACATCAAGTTGTTTTACCTGTATTGAAGTTAAGATTGAAGAAACATCATAGGTTGGACTCCAGCGATTCTGAAGTATATCTAAGCATATGCTACCATCTGCGTACACTGCAAAGTAACAGTACATTTAGCACTCTGGGGGTTGCTCTAAGATTTAAGAATACATTTCATTTCAACATACCGTTAGGATGAAACATTTTGGAGACAAATCTCACTGTTGGAGGTTTATTTGGATATTCTTCTGTGAATTCAATGGTAAGTTTGAAGGTTCCTGAAAGGAAGAAATAAAAAAAAAAAAATGGTGAATGAAATATTACTGTAAACAAGTCATGCATAAGAGCCGAACATACAATACCAACTTTATCTATGTAACCCAGATTTGTACATCTACATTTATAAACGCTTTATTCTGCTTACAGGTATAAATAATAGTAAATTTAACTCAAAAGCAAATCATTAAAAAAAGCAAGAAGAGAATGCATTTTAAGATCGATTAGTTATAAAATACATACCATCTTCAAAAGGTGTTCCCTCTGGTCTAAAAAAAAAAAAAAAGATCAAATAGGTTATAAATCATTTTGCAAATGTCTGCTAAACTAGTTATCAAAAGGTTAAGACATGATGGTAATAAAAATGTATTTTCCTCTAAATGCAGCCTTTATTACCCCAGCTTATTACATCATATAACAGTTACATAAAAAAAGTATTACGCCACACAGAAGAAACAAAGTTCAGTAGAGGTTGTTGACTATCCTCCGCCCTTGGTCATTTATTCTCGCTGTAGAACAAAACACTTCATAGAGTTTGGAAATTGGCTTAAATAACTTATGAATCCAAGGCATCTCAATCTTTTCATCCGTTCAACATGCTATCACTCCACAGCAGGACATATCAACATGTCTATAGCCTATCAGTTTCTTAAAATCCCTCTTGAATCAATTAATGTCTCACATTTTAGCTCAACGTATTGAAGCAGAACAGTCTGATTGTTAGTTAATCTAAATACTAAAGAACTACAGGCTTAAAATTGACTATCAGCAAAAAATACACTTTTTATGGTTGATATACTGATCACAATTTTCTAGGATACCAATTTCTGGTTCTCTTTAGGTCTGCAGATTATCTTGTTTTATTCAATGAACTTTTCCCGATAAAACTATTTTTTTATGGAAGTTCTTTGATGAGGATGCAAGAGAAAGGTGTTTTAAAGTTTACTTAATGAGAGGCCAGAAAAAAGATGTTAAAACAACCAAAGTTTAGAGAGTGCCCTGTAACCAAAATCACTGTTTTTGAAAGAAAATTCAGTAGTTTAGAAGTATTTTTTGCTATAAACAACATAGCCTGTCAGAAACTAAAACAGTTCAGCTATCCACTCTTATTAAAGTTACATCGTTTTACACACTAGAAACCGTTTAAAGCAACATTCTTAAGAAGGTTAGCGGTTATTGGAAAGCTTTGCTGAAGTCTTTGTATTTAAATTAAGAACAGATGATAAATGTTATACATAATGTTTTACTGAAGTATTCAGCATTTTAAATATTTATTTTTGCAATAGTTGAAAAAAATGGAAGTAAGTGAATTTACATATTTTGAACTAAAATATTGAGTTAATTCCATTTCTCTGTTGTTGTTTTTTTAAATCGACACACAAAAGGACCTCAATGTTACAGAAGAGGATTAGGGCCACTGGAAAAAAATAAAATAAAATAAAATAAAGCTTACTGATTTTTTTTACATTTTATTTCAGTTTAATATGGGAAGAAAGTGTGAATTTTGACTTTTTTCTCAGAATTCTGACTTTTTGGAATCTTAAACTTAAATAAAATTTAAAATTAGTTAACTTTTTTTTATTTTTCAGGGGCCCTAATCCTCTTCTGTACAATGTACATTGTTTTGCTGTTTATTTGTTTTTAAGCCCATAAAAATGTTGATTTATAGGCTCTGTTTACTTTTTAGGTCTTTCCAGGGAAAACTGGCAGATTGAAAACTGGCAGGTTGATTGGTGCTTTTCTACTTTTTAGAATCTGTAGAATCTGTTACCCAAATATTTGATGTGACACACGTACCCGAAAATGATTGCATTCCAAACCATGATATTGTTTTCTGATGGCGATCCACTGACTCCAGCTGGAGGATCCTCTTGCAGCCTTAAGGCAAACACAATGACATCTGAATAATTTCATCTGGAAAGCAAAGCAGTTACTGCTGCATGAATATTAAAGTGAAATTTATGATGAAGCTTCTAATGCACAGACATTATGTCAGAGAGTTAAACTTAACAGCCATTGTAAGACAGGCTTTTGAAGAGACTAATATAAAATAAACATTACTATTCAGCCGTGCACAGTTGCTGCTTCAGCTCTAACCATCTACCAACCTGCCTACTTACCCACCTACCTACACTAAGTGTTTTTCTTATTGCTGTTGGCAGTTACCCAAAATATCATTATTTGAATCCAAAACCTCACAATAAGCTGATTTTTTATTACATCAACCAAATATTTCTTCTGTTAAATGAATCGGGTAGGTGCACATCAGAAAGCCACTGGTTAGATACAAGAATAGAGGCTTAATTAGCACACACAAGATCCAGATTTCATTCAACTCCAACTAATAATATCTGCCCTAATTTGAAGGCGTTGCCTTTTAATTTGAATTTTATTTTTCTTTATTATGTTTTAAGACAGGATATGGTCTTTCCCTTTTTTAATAATTAACATTAGGGCTGCAAAATATATATATAAAAAAACTGTAATAGCAATCAACTACTAACATACACCCCTTACTTAACATGTATTTCTTGTATACACCGTTCATTTATGCATCTTACTTCTGAACTTCTTTATGTCGATATAGAACTGTCAGGTTTTAACAGAAGAACATCAAATCCACTGTGGGTCAAACTGGATTAGATCACCAAAATGTGCTCGTTAAATGGAGCATATGTAGATTAACTTTGTGCCGTAGATATATGTGCTTAGATGTGAGCAGGTGTTCAGACTCCACATGACAGATGGTTGCTGATCCTCAATCTTAACCAATGATCTATCATGGCCCGGGGATAGTATAGAAGCAGCAGGACAGGTCTACCCAAATCTCTTCCTCCATCTGGCCCTCAATCTTGAACTACATCCGTTCCACACACGTTTTACACTGATCATATGGGTTTCTCACTTTACATATTTTCTCACGCACCTTCTAAAGCGATTACCGTTACAGAAATTACACAATCTGGACGTTACAACCGCTCGGTTTGCTTACGCCGGTAGAATCGGACCTGTTGGTAAACGTTCAAACCAAATCGTCAAACTCTTAAATGTCATAAAAATAAAAACAATAATATCTGTATTAAATATTCAGTTTTAAATTAGCCGACCTTCATCGATCTGTTTCAATACTACGTTATTTCCGTGGTAGTTGTCAGTTGAGCTAATGCTAAACATTAGCTTCAGAATGCTAACGTTAGCGTTGTTTTCCTTTCACATACCGTTTAAAGTCTCTCATTAAACGTCGTCGTGCCGGAGTTGACATTCTGCTAAGGCGAAAAACGAATTCCTCGACAAATAAGCGAGGGATGTAAAAGATAATGAATGTTTCCTAAGATGTTATTTTTTATCAACTCCTTGCTGACCAGCAACGGTCTCTATTCTGTACTAGTTCGACAAATACTTGGCTGACTCTCGTCTGCGGGCGATACCATTTAGACTTCCGCGGGTAGACTTTGTGTAGATATACCTGACAATTAAACGATTGTATGGGGCAAACACAAACAAAAGTTTAGCATGAATAAATTAGGATAATTTGGATTACATTATTTCTTTTGTTAGATAGATTAAGCTCATTATAAGTTGCACTATAGTATTTTAAAATTAGTTGAAGAACCCCATCTCGCAACTTCAGTTGCTCCGCATAAATTATGTCATATGTTTGCTTCCATGTTTCGTTTTTTGTTGGGAAGCAAAAAACAAACATTCTCCGCCTTTGACGTTTTCTTTCTGTTTGTCCTCAATTGAAATTGTTGACATTTAACCTTTTCAACTTGACACCATTTACTCTAAGCATAATAAAAAAGGCAAATTGTTCTAAAAGACACGTCTTTAGCGTTTAGGTGTAGTACCAGTGAGAAACCACAAGATGGTGGTGGGCCCCATGTACTTTGCATTGTTCCTTGCCAGTTAAAGTAGGTTATAGAAATACTTTTCTAAAACCTACATTTCTCTGTGGATTTATATGTGAATTTCTATTTTCTTTGTCAAATGTGATATCAAAACTTTCTGTTTTCACGCAATTTCAGGGGAAATTCCTCATAACAAACAGAAAAAAAACCTACAGCTGACCGATACTACTCAATATGACATTACTTCTCGAGTGAAATTCGCAGCTGTCCCATATGGTCTAGCGGTTAGGATTCCTGGTTTTCACCCAGGCGGCCCGGGTTCGACTCCCGGTATGGGAACTCATCTTTTGAATTTTTTGTTCTTACATTTAATTTCACTGTGACATCGCGTGTCTGTAACAATAAATTAAACAATTTACCCGTTATATATTAGTGAGGTAACATGTATATGTTTTCCTCAAGAAAACAACGTAGACCCCGCCCGTTTAGGAATGATCGTGTATTACCCTCATGAGTGTAGACATTCCCGGAAGATGCACATTACCACCAGTTGTTTCTCCCTATGCCAAATTCATCAGTCGGCGCAGTACAGGCGAGCAAAGCTAGCAAGAACGAAGAATTGTCCTCCTATTTTTAAATATACACCTCGTCTGGTCTATCCGATGTTAAGATCTCTTTTATGACAAACTATCCCTCCTTTGTATTTATATATTTTTTTAAGACATCTGACTTCATTTTGACGCTGAACCTGTCCAGGCTGGCCAACTTCCAGTCTTTTTGCAGAACTTTGCTGTGGGGCCAAAAAATTCTCAGGAAAATGTGACTGCCTGCTAGGAATTCCCCACGCATCAGCAGCCAGTGTCGGAGCAAAAACCGCGACCTTGTGTCGGGAAGCAGACGAAAGCAGCAGGGAGAGGGTCAAAACCTGACGGCTGCCTGAGCGATGATGTAGCTTTACCGTTACAGCCCCTCGAGTCGCATCTCAAGGGATCATTATGTATTTGGATTTTTCTTGGGGAGAGCCGTTAAAGTACTTGGAAAAAGCGACAACTTGTGTTTTATAGATGGCATCTTTCAGCAGGGTAAGTGAAAACATACTTTATGTGCAGTATATGCATATACCGGTAACTGCTGGGGAGTTCTTTGGTCAGGAATGTCAAAAGAAGTCTAACGGCTGAAGACAGTGCTGCAGTTTTTCAGTTAAAGTTACAAACTTCTTTTTGCTTATTTTTGCTATATGAGTGAAGGACTTTCCCCACACTCCTCCATAGACTACAGTGACTCCCCTTTGTGTCAGTCAGCTGGCATGTGACCACACTGGGACCACGCTGGAAAGTGTCTTTGCACTTCTCCCTGCAGTCACAAGCTACAGAACAAGAACTAAGCTGTTCTCTCTCCATCTGTCCTTTATTTGAAGGGATTGTTTTGTTTTGTTAAGATAAAAATACGGTTATGCTGACTAGGTCAGAGGCAGTGCTTCTACTTTAACCCCCCTAAAACATTTCCAAATTTTTATTTTCTTATAACCATGACCTCTGGTGATTTGTAATGTTTTACAGTTTTATGGGGTACTAGCTGTTATTTGAGTCTTTTTTTTTTTTTTTAGCATTGTATTGGATTTTCTGGGAAGTTTTGGATGTATTTTTCCTATTTGTTCTCATATATTCCTTTTAAATATCAAAAAGGTGAAAATCAACCCTGATAAGTCATCTGAATTGTGAATAAAGTTATACCAATCCTAGTTTAATAATGGTATTAATACAACTGTGTGTCCAGATTTTTATTTATTTTTTTAAAGTTGGGGAAGTCTACTAATGTTGGCATTAATTGCAGAAAAAACTGGGTTAGAAGTCTGGCATTTTGTTGGGGATAGAGGTACGAACCTGCAGACATAACTCTGTAAGAGTCTGTCAAACATGATGAGGGTATTTGTGAAGGAAAACGGCAAGCTGGAGGCTTCTGATTCGCTTCTAACTCTTATTAAAGTACTTCTGGACTTATGCAAACAATAAAACTGTGCCTGCATTGCCGACATTAAGTAAACTCCAAGGTTTAGGGATCAAACTTACCAAGATATTGCTTTCCATAAAGGTACTGATTATAGACAAAGTAAAAATCGTACCACTAAGCTTGGTAGTGGCAGTACAGTACTGTGGTTTTTTTCTTCTTGTTTCAAGCAAATAAATGAAAGCTGGTTGTTTTCATAGGAAAAATGGATGGATTGAAACTGTCTTATATTGGAATAAGGTGCCCAAAAAATCTTGCAATAAACGACATTGAAGTTTGTTGTTGCAGCCTCAATAAAGTATGAAAAAAGTGGATGTTCTATATTCATGTGGCTAAAAAAGCAAAAAAAAAAAAAACCTATTCATAGCCACTGATGACGCATGATATTCCAGTTGTTCCATTAGATCATTCCAGGCTAAGCTTATTAACTAAAATTGGTGAAAACCAACATAGATGAGCCACAGTAACTTAATTTGTGACTTGATTACACCTTGTTGAGCACCAGTGTGAGTAAATGCTTGATGTTCTCTTCAAATACATCCCTGTATTTCTGGACAGGATTGTGTTTCTTATTTTTTTTCTTATACTGTTCATCCACCCGAATCCGTTGGGAGTCAAAATGTTTGCCAGATGTTTACATTTTTGGGGCTGAGATGCTTGTATCTGGGGACGGACAAACACCGTCTCATTGGCTGGCCAGGATTGCTCACTTTAGAGCAGGCAGCCGTGACGCAGAGGGAAGAGAAGAGAGCTAAAAAAATGTTCGTTTTTAGCGTCCCACCAGAGAGAGGACCAGCAGTCCGACCCGCCGGCCCTGCACAGACCCTCCCTTTCCGTCCGTCTCTCTGAAGTCCTCCCATTGTGGGAACACTGGCAGAAGCTGGTGGATAATTGGAAACTTCAGTCCCCTGAAAACAATTATCAAGATTTTCCAAATATACTCCAGCATGAAGTCATCCTGTTTGTTTCAAAGGTTTGCCCTTGTTTTAGGAACATCTTGCCACACTGCTGCCCACACATCGGCCCCTCCTTCACCCCATTCCTTTCTGCTTTGATAGCTTTTTAGTTTGGAGTAAAGGAGCCTCGCTGATACGGACCAGCACAGGGTGTGTGTGTGTTTGTGCTTTGAGGCCAGAGCAGTTCCCGGTATCCTCCTTATTCTGGCACCGTTTTGTCTTTGGCAGCAGTCTGAGCTGCTCAGGCTTGCTCTGATGACCAAGGACAACAACGTTTCATGAAGGACTCCTCAGACATCAGACACCTCTTCTTGCTGAAGATGTACCCGCCCGTCTTAATGGGCCTCGATATTGATTCAACTCCACAAAAAGAAGAACTGGGCTATTATCCCATGTAGGACGCAGCACTCCAGTTCCACAAATGCTTTCAGAGAAGCATATAAGAGATGGGAAATCCTACAGCTTTTCTTTTTTTTTTTTTGCAAGTTGGCATGTTGATCATTTTTGAAAATATACAGACGTTCCTGTTTCTGTGCCTAGAATTTTTTTATCTCACATTTTTAATACAGTTGTCTGCAACTTTTAATAAACTAACTGTATTAATGAAACAAAGATATTGAATGTATTCATCAGTATATATTTAATGCATTTATTTCTGTTCATTTTCATGTTAGGACCTACAAAGACTGTTGTTTTGATTAGTTGTCTGGCAGATAGTATTTGATATCCTCCGCACGAGGGTTACGCCTTAAAGGGTTATTGCAATAGAAGCTAGCTGTTTGCACATCTGTTTTTTAACTGTCTAACAGCCATTTTTTTAAAATGTTTACTGTACGATTTACACTATTTGTTTAGAGAGAGCTGTTTGGTAAAACATAAACAGCAAAAACAATTAAATAAGGTACTAATTAATTGTTATTAATCGATTATTTAAATAATTGTCAAATAATTTATTAGTCGATTAATCGTTAACTGGAATATAGAGATTCTAAAACATGCCTTTAGCTGACAGAGCGACCCACCTCGAGCAGCAATTATACCATGATTTAAAGAAAGAAACAAAAAAATTCAAATATTTTGCATTTAAGTTAAAAAAAACTTTTTTGTCTGCCAATATGCTCTACCCAGAGCTCCTCAAGTGGAAAAGTTTTAGTTTCACCTGGTTTAATTTTGTTAAAAGTATTTTTTCAAGAATCTTTTGCTATTTGATTATTAATCAATTAATTTGAAAAATAATCTACCGATTAATCAATTTGTTCTATAATCATTTGCTGCAGCCCTAGTACTAATTGTTTTCCTGCAGGACACAACATCAAAAATACCGCCTCATCGCACTAAGGGGGGTAAGTCATGTAAAATAAGACCCAATAATGAAGAGAGTTCATATATTGTACAGGATTTTTTTTAACTTGAACTTGCGCACTAAATAAATGATTCCCAGAACATAACTTTTAAGGGTTTGGTCACCTATAAGCCATTATCATACAAATTGCCAGAAAAAGACAATTTATATATCTCACTCTCTCTGTAATTAAGCTATTTGATTCATGATTGTAGCTGTTTCAATCAAAATACTTAAAAAAAAAAGGAAAAAAACAA